ATCAAAAACAAAAGCCATGAAATGCACTTAAGAAAATCTGAGGAAACTTTATCCACTGACAAGTAGAGTTTGTCTAAATTAATAGGTACTACAATCAGTGTTTGGTGTGGGTAGGGGTTCCTAGCCTCAAATAATTGTTTTTTCCTGCCGTGCTGAACAATGAATCAGAGAATTGTAACACTGAGAAGTGGTCTGTCACTTGGCAACACTGTCAACACATTGGCTGACTTTTCAAAGCAAAATGAAATAGTCCTTAAGAAAATTAGACTGACAAGTGTGGGCAGGCTACATCTTTTTCTTTTTGTTTATCCATAAAACAAATTTCAGCAGGAAAGCAACACCTAAAAGTGCATGTGGCAGTTAAGGTGGGTGTGAATTTGAATTTGACTGGCTTTGGGATTCCTGCTGGAAACTGGTAGAGCACACTTCTTAGTGTGTTGTGGAGGCGTAACCTTGGGATCCCTTACCCTTTCCTCTCTGGCACGTCTTCTAGCTTTCTTGTTGGCCACCATGAACTAACAAGACTTTTGCTCCACTTTGCCTGTGGCCATGATGTTCCTCTCTGGAATCAACTGACCATGCACTGAAACTCCTTAAACATGATCCATATTAAAATCTCCCCTCCTTTATGTTGGGAGTATCAAGCACTGTGTTGCAGCCACAGGCAAAGCTAAGAGTGTGTCAAGTTACCTGGGGGCAATTAGCTTCCTCCAGCCACTGTCCTCAATGTAAAATAAGTGTATTTTTTTTTTTTTTTTTTTTTTTTTTTGTACCAGGAATTCAACTCAGGACCTTTCACTTCCCAGGCAGGTGCTTTGCTGCTAAGCTAAATTCCTCGCCCTACTTGACATGTTTAATTAGTGACTTTGAGATTTCTAGAGAAATAAATTCTCATCCTGAGCTTTTTCCAAATAGAGTTCACGCAACAACTTGTGATTCTGATATCCTGACTACCTTCTCTATCAAGTTAATTCAATTGATGATGTCTAGAGTTGGCACCTGCTACCCCACCTAGTAGTTCGTTTCCTTTTAGGGATTACTGGAAACTTCATTTAAAAATACATAGAACAATTGCAGTTTTCTAGTAGCTTTGAGTAACCTTAGTTTTTTTTTTTTTAAATGTACACTTTATTCAAGTCGTTTGTTCCTTTGGTATGACTTGTTCATAATATAAACTGTCATGATTGTAAGAGTGTCATCTCTTATTTCTGATACTGGGAATTTTTGTCTGTTATAGTTTTTTCCTGATGGTTAAGATGCATTTTATCAGCATTTGTCAAGGAAAATTTTGTTTTTGCTTATTTTTCTCTACTATGTGTTCTAATGATACTGATTTCTGTTCTGATCTTTATTTCCTTTCTTCTGCTTATTTTCAGTTTCCCATGGGTATTCTAATGTCTTATTATGGACAATGGTGTAATTTAGACAGTTCTTTCCTAATATAGGCATTATTTGATATAAAATCCCATCCAACCACTATTTTACTGACATCTTACAATGTTGATACGCATTTAAAGTTTTACTTAGTTCAAAATGACTTCTGATTTTCCTTTAGGTATCTTTTTTGACCAAGGATAGATAGAAATGGATTGACTTTCACCTACTTGGGTATCTACAGTATCTTCTTGATGATTTTTAACCTAGTTTCATTATGATGAGAGACCTTACTACACATAATTGAATTCTTTGATGGCCTCAAAAAACTAAGGAACATTAAAGCATATGATACAAAATTTATCAAAGGAGAGGAAAAGAATTCATAAATACAGGAACAAAATATATGGATGGATCCAGCAGCCAAGTGTTGCAGGGCCTGGGAAGCAAGCATGTCTTCTCTTGTGTCATGGTTTATGTCAGTGGCCCTCAGGCCTTATGCCTTTGCATTATGTCTAGAGCTTGGATTGATGGTGGCAATGCTACACCCACATAGGGGTGAAGCCAGGATGTAATGTAATGGCAGGAAGAAGGCGTCTCTCTTTTTTTTTTTTTTGCTGGTTTCCTCCTTGCTGTTTGCAGCCACCATGAACTGTGGCCCCACCATGCCACCCTGCCTTGGAGCCAACTGAGTATGGACTGAAACCTCCCAAAACTGTAAGAAATAAACATTTCCTTTCCCAACTTTGGGATTCAGGTGTTTTGTCTCAACAACGAGTAAAAAGTAACTAAGACATCTTGTAACAGAGGGGAAGGAATGATTGGTGTGTGTGGAGGTGCATGTTCGTGGGGTGGCTCTTCTCCAGAGTTGAAGAGCCAGAGTTGATGTCATCAGCCAGAGGGACTGGTTCTTTTAGCAGGGGGTGGTGGTGGGGGCTGATGAAACAATATTCATACAGCAGAGTAGGGAAGAGAAGCTGTTAAGGAATGACGTAGCCTGGGCCAGCAGAGTTGGTGGTTCATGAGGAACTGTGGCTGTAAATCTCAAAAGAGCTTCCTGGAATACTTTCCTGTCGAGATGTCTAACTGCCTGTGCAGGCCAGACATGGTGGCTGCAAGGGAACTGTTATAGCATTGGGCTATCACTCTGTTCACTCTATATTTTAGCTTTTCTAAACTACAAAAAATTGGTAGTTATGTAAATGCCATCCTGTTTAGTATGGGTTTAATTAACTTCACACTAGAGGAGACTAGTTTTTATCTTCATTTGCAGTTCGGGTCAACACTCCTTGTGTGTGCACCTGTAGTTTGTACTAGATGTCCTTTGCTTTGCTCGAATGTTCATAGCACTTTTCAGAGGTGTCTTGGTCATGGATATGCGAATGTGAGTGGATCAAGGGTATGTGAATATGGATTAGGGTGTGATAACTGGATTAGTACACTGATTGGCTTGGTACTGTCCTGGACTGGGTAATAGGAAGCCCCACAGGTGGGTAGCACCAATCAATAGGCTTTATAACCTGGATGGAATATAAGGGGAAATGAAGGAAGGCAGGCTCACTGCTCACTCTTGCTGCTTTCTGCTTCCCTTCCATGGACTGTTTCTCCTCTGCCATGCTGTCTTGGTTTGGAGCCAGCCTACTGTGGACCAAAACCTTTATAAAGTGTGAACTGAAATAAACCTTGCCTCCTTTTACAGCTCTTTATCTCCCTAGTATTGGGGGTTGAATCTGGGGCTTTTGTACCGTGAGCCTATTTCATTATTTTTTATTTTGGGACAGAGTCACATTAAGTTGTTGCATTGCTTAGGTTGGGTTCCAATTTCCAATTCTCCTGCCTTAGCCTTCCAAAGAGCTGGGACTACAGGCTTATACCACCGCACCTGGCTTGTTTCTTGCTCTTTCATATGAGAATTTTGTATATAATGTTAAATATGAGGTTACTTTTATATCTATAAGACAATCATATTTTACCTTTTTCTGAACTTTTATTTTGGTCTCTTTGAGACAGAGTCTTATATGTAGTGTAGGCTGGCTTTGAACTTACTGTGATTGCCCTGTCTCCTAGGATTACAGGCGGGCACCACCACACCCAGCTAAAAATTTTATTTTAGCAGCAAATACTGAAGTTTAGTGTAAGAAATAAATCCTTAGCAACATAAGTGGAATACATTCTCTGTCCCCGGTACCCTAGAGGGAATCAGGTCTTTAAACTTAGAATGTTTTCTTTCAAGCTCTTAAAGAAGCTGGGTGTTATACAGGTATTAAGGAAATATCTTTGCTATTAAGCTCTGCATTTCAAAATTAGTATTTGCATTACTATAGTCTTGACATAAACATTTTGATCTTCTGTTGGTGTCTGTTTACAAGAACAAAGTAACTTGGAGGAAATAAACAACTCTGTTTAAATGTGAACCTTATGACTAAACCTCATTTTAAAAATAAGAGCTCCATCCTTGTTTTCTGGGTGAACATTTTTCATGTCTCTTAACCCATAAATAGCTGATAGCAAGAAACACCGTGCAATAGAAGCCTTGCCCGGCATTTTATGACCCTGGGGGAGAAGAGGACAGAGGAAGGTGACAGGCAGTGGACATGTGCTACTCTTGACCACCAGGGAGAGTGCTAACCTGCTAGATCTGATGCTCTCACACCACATATATAGTCATGTGGCAGGCACAGTTTTCAGCACGTTATATCAAGACATAGCATCCCAGACTCTTTCCCCTTTTAGTGAAGGAAACTCAGATAGGTAGTGCCTGTCATCCTGCTTAAGAACATATGCTAAGTAGGCAGAGCTAGGAATCCCTTTCCCATGATTTCTATTTGTTTTTGGGACAGGGTTTCACTATGCAGTTTGGCCTGGCCTTGAACTCACAGTGGTCCTCCTGCCTCAGCCTCTCGAGTGCTAGGATTATAGCTAGGCACCATCACACCCAGTCGTATGCTTTCTATTTCAACGCTGGATATTGAACTCAGGGCCTCACACATGCTAAGCAAGTGTTCTGCTGATCTATGCCCCTAGCCCTACTGCATGTTTCAAAATTTTTCTAAAAACAGAAAAGGTGAGCTAGATATTCAAGGCAAACACTAATGTTTGGAGACTGTGAATACTGTTCATTCTCTGCATGTATTTTGCTGAAAGATGGGACTGTCACAGGTCTCATGACATTTCATTTTGACACATATGACATATCCTTATCTGCGGTATTCCAATCATTCTCATCCCAAAACCTCAAATGGCCAGCTGCTCACAGGAATACCATTTGAATGTCAAATGCTGTGTTTGGCTGTCTTCCACAATGATTTAGGTTTTTTAAGGAAACTAGGCAGCTGTCTTTGTCTTCAGGGTGTCTGTGTTTCCCAAGGGGCTGGGAACCTGGAGCCCAGGGGTCATAGCTAGCTCTGCTCCTGGGTTGTCATGAGTCTGTTTTCTGTCACAGCACAGCAGCCCTGATTTGCTGCTACAGACCACGTGGCACTAACAGCCAAAGGTAATACTGCCTGTGTCTTTCTGAGTTTGTGAGCCCTGGGCTACGCTGTCCCTTCTCTTAACCTCACTTTAATGCTGGTGACACCTCTGAGGTGGAGCTGGATCAGCATGAAAACAACCTGCAGAAACAGGCATTCATAAAGAACTATTTAATCTATTAATTTGAATGTTATTTCCAAAAACGTTCCCTTTTTCCTCTCTGTATCACAGAGGCTATCAAAAGGATATCACACAATTAGTATTCACTCTGTGAGTAGCTTACTCCAGTAGATAGTAGTAGATTAATACTTAGCTGGTGACTGGGATATTATTTCCTTTGGTTTGGGATATTCTGGCAGTACGAATGTGCTTCGGGTCACATCAGGCCATGGTACAAAATGGGGCCATGGTGGCGGTGTGAGTTGACTTCACCATTGTTTGAGTTTTTTCTCTGCGATAAACTGTCCATGAGGCCCCCCAGAATCTGGGGGTAACAGGGCCAAGTACACAGGGGTCTCAGCTCCTTCTTCTGGGCTTTTGGGCGCTGCAGGTCCCACCATGTCAGTTCTCACCCACCCTGGACAGCAGGCATTCAGCAGGACCTTGTCCTGTCGCCTCTCCTCACTCAGTTTCCGGGCGTGGATTCGGGACAGAACCGTGACGCCGATCTTGGACACTTCATATGTAGAACTGGGCCAGCCTTCCTCCTCCTGCACCCCATTGTTTATATCTTCCACGAACTTGTTCATGAGCCCCACCAGCTCCTCCTCGGTGATGGTCTCACTTCGAAACTTCTGCTGCAGCTCTGGGCTGCAGCGTTTAAGGGCCGAGAGACTCAATGTGCTTGACACATTCACCACTCTACCTAAAATACACCGTATGTTCTTCAGTGGAGAGGTGTACATAAGTATGGTGGATAACAAATTTGCTGGAATTTCAGAGCAGGAAATTTCCATTTCAAAGACATTAGTAGGAAGGTTTTTAAGAGGAATACATACAGGCGGTGTGGTGGTTGCATGAGGAATTTCATTCTAGACTTCAAGTTTGGGGCAGCTGCCACTGAAAACAGCTGCCCTTGGAGACCCTAGTGAACACAATCTGAGAAGTGTAGAACCTGCTGGGAGGACAGGATGGGAGACAGGACAGCAGTGGAGAGTAAGCTGTAATGTAAGTTTTGAGACCTAAACCATATTAATTATTTGGAAAAGTGACTGAGTGCCTTTATTGGTGTGTTTAATGAGTTAGAGTTCATCTGCTATCTGTGTATTATCAGACAGTTTATACTAAAAGAAACATAATAAAATGTGAAGGAGACAGAACACACTGATAGGAGGTAAAATGAACCTGGAGCTAGGCAGGGTCAGAGCATACAGATTGCTATGCACCATGCTGAGGGCTTGCAGCTTCTCCCACAAAGGATTGTGGGTTGGGGTACCCAGGCAGACCTTATATATGGAAAAAGGAACACCTCAAAGAGGAAGGGCTCTTAGGGTGGTTTTCAGTGTGCAGCAGGACAGCTGATGAACTACTCCCTGAAGTCACTCATGGATACAACAATCTCAGGACCAGCTAAGTGATTATACAGGGTGAGGTAACCATCAGGTTGCTGTTGTGTGGCTAAGATGATTTAGGGAGAAGGGGGAGCACTGTCCAGAGATGTTTGTTTCAGACTGAGGGGCAAAAGAAGGTAGTGGAAAATCATGGAAATGAATACGTGTAGGGGTCCTGGGAGTGTTCTAGCCACTGAGTGTTTGAGCCGTTTTTGGGAAAGCAGTTCTACTGAACTGGTGTCAGTAGAGGCTCTAGAATCCCGAATCAGATTACAGAGCAGGGAGGAAGGACAGGATGGAAACTAATCCCATGAGTAGGGCAGAATGAAGAGTTTATGTGAGGAGACTTTGACCCAGGACTTGAAGGATCAGGAAGAAACAGGTATGCAAAGAGCAAGTGGACAGAGAGCACCAGTGGCCTAAGAAGTGGGGACAAAGCAGCAAAAATGCACCTGCAGGGTGGAGACCCAGTGAGGAGGCTCGTGCAGTGGCAGCTGTAGAGAAAGAGGAAGCAGGGCCTGGAGTTGTGGTCCCAGCGGATGGGGACAGGTCAGCACCAAACTCACCTTGGGGTCTTATTAGAGGAAGCAGCTCCCTGCTGACATCACGGGTACCAAAAAAGTTTGTTTTCACTGTTAGTTGTGCTTGTATATGAAAGGGTGTGGGATCTGCCTCTTACAGGAGAGAAAGATAACAGATTTAATGAATAGTAGCCTTTGGGTGAATTTCATTAAAAAAGAAAAAAAAAAAAAAAGAAAGTACATTTGAAGTGTGCTCACTTCCAAGAGAAGTTTGAATTTACAGTGTTATGCCAACGTCAGCCTCCTAGTTTAATAATTTCTTCTTGTTTCTGTAATATGGCAACATCAGAGGCTGGGTGAAGTTTGCCTAGCAGTGAGTGTCTTGGTGTCTTCCATTTATTTCAAAATGAGTTTAAAACGCGACCTAACTGACCTAAACCTTAGTCACACTATGTTCAAAAGTCTGGGTCAGGCAAACACAAGGCCTGGAATCACTCCAAACTCTTGCAAACTCTGTTCTTGCTGCAGTTCCTCCGGCTCTTATTCCTCCTAGGGATCCCATTCTGCACCCCACAAGCCAGAGGGACCCCACCCCCGGGTGCCTCCATAGGCACAGCCTAGCCTATGGGCATCCCAACTCCTTACTCTTGAAGGCGATGCCCGCGTTGTTGACCAGCACGTCGAGGCCCCCATACTCCCTGCGCAGGAAGTCGCGCACAGCTCGGATGCTCTGCAGGTCGTCCACGTCCAGCTGGTGGAAGCGCGGGCTCAGCCCCTCGGCCTGCAGCTGCTGCACCGCCGCCCGGCCCCGTGCCTGGTCCCGCGCCGTGAGTACCACGTCGCCCTGAAACCGCCGGCAGAGCTCGCGGGTGATGGCGAAGCCGATGCCCTTGTTGGCCCCGGTCACCAACGCCACGCGGCTGCAGGACATAGCTGGATCGCAGCTGGGGAAAGCAGCGTGGGTAGTGGACGCCCAGGAGTTAGAGAAGCAGTGAGCGACCGAGGCCCAGAGGGGCCAAAGGGCTCCAAACTGGGAAAGGGTGAAGGACGGAGGGCGCAGGCGCAGGCCACGCCCCTGGATGGGCGTGGCTCCTGGGACGTTAAGCGACTTGCAAAGGAAATCCTGAGCTGCAGGGCTCCACTTTGAACTGCAGGTTTTAGTGTTTCTAAAGTGAGGGTGCGTCCCTATTGGTGTGTACTTAATAAATCGGGCATCTGTGTACCGATTCCTTAGGTAAGTATTGGAGCAGCTTATAGGGTAAGAAATAGGATAGTGTGTTATGTGCATGTTGGAGGAAATTAAAATGAGCCTAGAGTTAGCGGTGCCAGAGTAAGAAGATCCCCGCGAAGCACGCCAAGGACTTGGGGTTTCTCCTGCAGAGTCCTGGGAGAGAAGCACGCAGGGCCACAGTGTGCAGAAATCTGAAAGGGGAAAAGGCTCAAGAAAAACTGTTAGGGGGTCAAATTTCTGTTGACTTATTTCCTAAGTAAATAAACTAAATCTACTGCTTACCAAGTTTTTCAAGAATGATTGGGAACATTTACCAAATCACCCCGAAGTTAGCACTGTTGAACACCCTGCGAGACTTTTGAGACCTTTGAAGATTTGCGCTTAAGATTAAGAAGTTGTTTCCTAAGCGCAAGTGAGTTTTCTTCCTTGCTTACTACTTACAATGATAGAATAGCGGACTATGAGATCAAGTTTCATATCTTTGCTGTCCCCAAAACACTAGCAGCAAGTGGTCATTTAACTCTAAATTAAAATTAATGCAATTACAAAAATGCAGTCTTGGATGAAGTGCTTGGTGGTTGCATGTGTCTTGTCAGTGGCTGCTGTGTTGGGTACTGTAGATGAAGGATATTTCTCCATCACTGGAAATGATTCTGTTGCACGACTCTGTTTTACATAGATTCCGATTGTGTTGCTAGTTCAAGGTAAATTTTCAGTCTGGTTCATGAATAAAAGTTACTGATCAGGAACAGACCGTTGCTGCTTTTCCATTGAAATATTTATTGAGATATTATTGATTTACATGAAGTTGTGAGAAACAGTTCAGAGATTCCTTACATTTCACCTTTTCTTTCAGTTTGCAAAATACAGTTCAATATCACAGTGATGTATTGACTACAAAACAGTCCACCAATCCTCTCCTCTTGTGTCCTCATTTGTATGTATGCAGCCCTCTACCACGGAGCTGTATCCCCAGCCCTGGGTATTTGTTCTGGTGAGTTTGATAGGGACCCTCCAAGACATAGCAGTGGGTCTGAGTTCTAAACAGTTGGAGAAATAAAACCAAGGGGGTAAAGACGCAACTCCCAAATCTTCCTTAAAACTGCCAGTGCTGAGTTGATAGCTGTGAGTTAGTGGTGGTAGTCAAAGTTCTGAGACTGTCTTTAATTTTATCCCAACCTAATAATTTGTGGGATAAATTTACATCTTTACTAGCTACTGGTTTAACAAAGGTATTTTATGGTAAGACACACAGTTCCAAGGAGTCTATTAGAAGAAACTGGAAAGCGTATTGTTAAATTACAAATGAGGAAGCTCTCCAGACCTTCCCTTGCTTGTGACTATTTACCTTCATGGAACTGTCTTTAATGCTTTATCAAACTCTGGTTTGGCAGGCTCAGTATACCTTGCTAGAGGGTAGAGGTTGCACCCTGGCTTCACCCCACATGGTCCTGCATGGTATGGTGTGTTACCTATCTTGGGAACATTAAAGGAACAAACTCTTCAAACTGTCTTCACCTCAGCCTTTTCATATTATCTGGTCAAAAGAAATCCTGGATACATTTAAATCCATATGGATGAATTTTTAAAAAGTTATGCTGCATAAAAGAAGCCAGTCACACAAGTAGAACATATTTTATGATTTCATTTATCCGAATTGTTCATTCCATTGACATGAAGCTGTTTATGATATGCACTATATGCATTGCTTGTCATTTTATCATTTTCAGTGATATTACCTCTGTAATACAAGGAATATTTCATATATATATATGAAGAGAATAAAAATATATACATAATTCAGGAAAAGAAAAAAATATCTGAAAGCTAACAGCCACAACTTTCTGTTATGCTTGTAATTTCAGAGGCTGCAGGTAATTTGTGCTAATCTCATAGTGTCTCAATAAATTTAGTATTAATAAATTTATAAAAGTTTTTCTTTTGTAGCCGGGCGTGGTAGCTCATACCTGTAACCCAGCACTCAGGAGGCTGAGGCAGGAGGATCGTTGGGAGTTCAAGACCAGCCTAGGCTACAAAGTGAGCTCAAGGCCAGCCTGAATTGTATAGAGACACCCTGTCTCAAAAAGACAAAAAAAAGTTTTTCTTTTCCTGAAATATATATATATATATATATATTCCTGAAATATATATATATATATATATATATATATATATATATATATATTCCTTAAGAAAAATACAGCCAGACAAATACAACTCTTCGGTGATTGTCTGGGTTTTTCCTGTTGATTTTGAACTAACTCCATCTTGAACATGAAACTTGCTGAGTGTGATTTGAATCCTTTTGGAAGGGCTTGAAAAGGTGAGAGATGTCCCAGCACTCAGCCGTGGCAAGCAAGCATGTCTTCTCTTGTAACAGAGGGAAGGCAACTCAAGTGGGTCTGGTCGCGGGGGAGTGGGGTGGCTCCGCTCTGGGCCTCAGATCAGCCAGAGGGATTAGTTTGGGGGATCTGAGGAAAGAATAACATCTTACAGAATGGGAAAATGAACGTAGTAGGGAATTAGGCAGCATTTGCTAGCAAGGGTGGAGCATACTTGGGATTAGGATTCCAAATCTGAAACCCAGATGCAGCCTCCTGGATTCCTCCCTACCCTGTAGGCTTTTCTGCTAGTGCAGGCAGGGCATGGCGATCCCTTCTGCAGGTTGGCATTGCCTGATATAAGACTGAAGAATCTTTGCAAGGGAAGAGTTACAGCATTCATTTGTGGATCAGCTCATTCTGAGATAATTTTTATTTCTTAATAAATTATGGTAAACAATAAGTACATGAGTTTTGTCCTGTTAGTAATAATTTAATGAACTTAAATGAACTTACTGGATGTACTAGAGACGGGACACTCCACTCTTGTCTCCATTTTCAGTTCAGTTCAACTTTACTCCATAAGCATATGCCCTTTAGCTCTGCCTTTCAACTGCCTATATCTACCTTGGTACAATTATCTATGTGATAGTGATAATTCTCTCCTTGTTGGAAATTCTATTTTAGTAGGAAGTACCCATTCTGTGGTTAAAAAATAAATCCTTAGTATTATAGATGGGACACACTCTCAACTGTGTGCTCTCAACTAAGAAATAACCAGGTACTTGAATTTGAATGGAGTTTTCTTTGACATTCTTAAAGAAACTAGGTGTTCTTAAGATAGGAAAAATGTCTTTGTAGATGAACTATGCATCTCCAAACTAACAGTTGAAATACGATAGTCTTTTTTTTTTTTTTTTTTTTTTGAGATGGATGTCGCTATACATTTCAGGCTGGCCTTGAGCTCACCTGGTAGCTCAAGCTGGTTTTGAACTCCCAACAATCCTCCTGCCTTAGCCTCCCAAACGCTGGGATTACAGGTATGTGCCATCATGCCTAGAGAAATACTGTAGTCTTCATCTACACATTTTGATCTCTTGTGGTGTCTGTTTACCAAAATAACAAGGAGCAAGAGAATGATTTTGTGGCTGGTGGAGAAGGAACAACAGCGTGGCAGTAGGGGCCTCAGGAAGGGACAGAGGACACATTGCCTGGTACTACTGCAGTCCCGCTGGGTGACGGGCAGCGAACACATTCTGCTCCTGACCAGCAGGCAGTGTTGTGAGCCCGGCCCTGGACACAACTAAGTATCAGGCAGTATTTTCAGCACCTCGTATGGAGACATGCCATCCTGGGACCATTGTCCCCATGTTAAGGAGCCTGGGACACAGCAAGAGACAGTCATTCTGTCTGAGGTCATACACTGAGGAAGAGCCAGCAGTTTTCCACACATTTTCGTCTTGTGTTTTGTTTGCTTGTTTTGTTGTTTGGTCTACTAATGCTTTGCCTGGAACCCAGGGCTTCACACCTTCACTGAGTTATGCCTCTGTTTCTCCCCATGTATTGACAGCTGTCTACAAACAGAAAGGTGGAAAAAAAGTAGACCCCATACATCCATCAGTGCCCTGTGGTGGTGAACATTCTGTTAGCCTCTTCATTTCCCTGGGTGTACTGGGCTGAAATATGGGAATATCACAATCCCTGTGACACTGCATCCCCACCCAGGTAACAGTGACATTGGGAATTTGAACAATCATGTTCTTATCTCAGAGTTGTAAATGCTCAAGTGTTCCCCACAAGGATCACTCTGCCCTCGGCTGTTTTCCACAATCAATAAGACCTTTTCAAGAAAACAGGCATCAGCCTTCGTTACCATGGTGTTGGCTGTGTTGGTTGATGAACCCTAGCCCATGACCTGTTTCTACCTCTGGTCCTGGCTTGCCAAGTGTGTCTGCAACCTGAGATGCTGCTGCATACTGCTTGGCCCACAGAGCTGACAGTGTTACTGTCTGGCCCCTTCTGTGTTTGCCAGCTCCTGAGTTACACTGTCCCTGCTCTTGACCTCTGAGATGGAGTTGGCTCAGCTTGAAAACAACCTTCAGAAACAGGCGTTCTGAAAGAACCATTTGTTTGGCTACTGATTTTGTTCATATTTCCAGCAATTTTATTTTTTCTCTCCCAATATCACAGAGGAAACTACTAAAGACATCACAGACTTAATGGCCATTCAGTGAATAGTCTATTCTATTAGTATTCTATCAGTACAAGCCCCAGATGGGAATCTGTGGATTTATTTTTTGCATGGGGATACAATGGACAGTATAAATGTCTTTTGGTCATATCGAGCCATGGTACAGAATGGGACCCTGGGTGGTATGAGTGGAGCTCACCACTGTACGATATTTTTGTTCTGAACAAACTCTCCATGGGGACCCTTGGCATCTGGGGGCAGGAGGGCCAAGTACATGGGGGTCTCTGCTCCTTCTTCTAGGCTTTTTGGGGCTGAGGGCCCCGCCATGTCAGTTTTCACCCACCCTGGACAGCAAGAGTTCAGCAGGATCTTGTCCCCTCCCCTCTCTTGACGTAGTTTCCTAGCCTGGATTCTGGACAGGACTGTGACACCGATCTTGGACACCCCATAAGCAGAGTTGGGCCAGCCTTCCTTCTCATGCACCCCATTCTTTACATCTTCCACGAACTTGTTCATGAGCCCCACCAGCTCCTCCTCAGTGATGGTTTCACTTCGAAACTTCTGCTGCAGCTCTGGGCTGCAGTTTGGAAGGTCCACGAAAATCATCCTGCTTGACACATTCACCACTCTGCCTGAAATAAGTTACATGTCCTTAAATAGAGAGTTGTACACAAGAACCATGAAAAATTTGTTGGGATTTTAAGGCAGAAAATTTCCATTTGATAGGTTTTTGCTTTCTAAAAGAAATCCATGTGGTGGTTATGTAGTTGGATTTGGAAGCATTTTTGGCAGTTAAAAGAATCGGGTGACATTTTAAAGAGCTGCCCTTTGAGATCTTGGTGTAAAGTCTTAGAGGTAGAGTAGTAGAACTTTCAGAAAGGCTGGGAAACAGGACTGGAATTGAAAGGAAACTCTACCTGCAAGTATTCAAGTATAGGCCACATGGCTTAATTTTTCTAAAAGTAACTGCTCGTTTTTATTGATGAGTATTTAATGAATGGTGGTTTCCCTGCTGCCCCCATAATGTGGAGTATTAGAGGACAAATAGGATAGTTTGTTAGGTGCCACTCATGAAGTACCTTGATGTGGAGGTAAAATGAAGTGGAAGCTGGACAGTGGAAGTTTAAGGGCATCCCTGTAGACCATGCTAAGAGCTTAGGCTTTGGCATGAAGTTGTATTGGGAGGGGAGTGGGCAGCAGATCTTCTCTTGAAGGGAGGAATCTTGGGAGGGGTTAGAGTTGTGCCTTTGGTCGCTGAGGGCCTGTTGTAGGGCTTGGGTGAGAGTGTCTCAGGAGACACTCAGGGGGCATGGTCTAAAGATGTGATAAGTGACTGTGAGCGGGTAGGCATGCTGACCACCATGATGCTGGTGGGGGTTTTACGGTGAAGAATGAGAATGTCTGCTGAAGATGTCTGCTTAAACTTGAGGGACATCAGGCGGAGCTGGATGGCTGGAAAATGCATATGTGTAGGGGTCTGTGGGAGTGTTCTGGGCAGATGATAGATTTTTGGAAGGCAGCTGTAGTGACCTGGAGGGAAAGAAGCTTCCACCAGCCCAAATAGGATCACTCAGATAGCAGAGAAGGAACAGACAGGATGGAATCCCAAGGGCCTTGAATCTGAGGGGCACTGTGCTAATTGCAGACCTTTAAACCAACGTGTGAAGGATAAAGGGAGAGGCAGGTATGGCAAGAGTAGCAGGCCTACAGCATCAGTGGGAAGTGAGGACAAAGCAACAGAGCCGCTCCAGCAGGGTGGAGACATAGCAAGGTGGCTGGTGCAGTGGCAGCTGCAGAGAGAGAGAGGAAGCAGGGCTGGAGATGCTAGCAGGCATTTCTTGAGAAAGGTCACCACCTGACTCACCTTGGGGTCTTATTAGAGGGAGCAGCTCCGTACAGAGATCCCGGATACCAAAAAAATTTGTTTTCATTGTCATTTCTGCTACAATATGAAAGGGTGTGGAGTCTCCCTCTTCTAGGGAAAAAAAAAGAACACTCATTAAACCATTGCGATGGGGTAAAAGTTTGCAGAAATATAGCAGAGATGTAATCTGGTCTCTTAGGAGTACATTCGGTGTGCAATAACAGTGTTGGCAATGTCAATATTCTGATTTGATGGTGGTCTATTATTATTTTTGCAAGATGGCATCATAGGGGGAGTTCAGCACAGTCTTGGTGTAATCCCCTCATTTCTTGGGTCCGAAGTGAATTAAAAGTGCATGATCTGCCTTAAAACCTTCTCACAAACATTGTGTAAGGAAAATCTTAAGCAGATTCCCATGAATCCCCAGGCAAACACAAGGTGGCATTCCCCAGCCCCTGAGGGCTCTGCCTTGCTGCAGCCCCAGCCTCTTCTCCTCCCTGGGGAGCCTGTTCTGCACCCCCTAGCCCTGTCAGATGCAGCCCACCCCGCATGGAGTCTCAGGGAGGCCGCCTCCCCTCTGCACACCCAGGATCCCTACTGTTAAAGGCGATGCCCGCGTTGTTGACCAGCACGTCGAGGCCCCCATACTCTCTGCGCAGAAAGTCGCGCACGGCTCGGATGCTCTGCAGGTCGTCCACGTCCAGCTGGTGGAAGCGCGGGCTCAGCCCCTCGGCCTGCAGCTGCTGCACCGCCGCCCGGCCCCGTGCCTCGTCCCGCGCCGTGAGCACCACGTCGCCCTGAAACCGCCGGCAGAGCTCGCGGGTGATGGCGAAGCCGATGCCCTTGTTGGCCCCTGTCACCAGCGCCACGCGGCCACTGGATGTCATGGCTGAGTTGTGCAGCGCCAGGCTCCTGGGCAAAGAAGGGATCTCGCGTGGCTCAGAGACCTGTGTCTGTAGGGCTCTGGGTTAGGATACCTGAGATTTGAGCCTGGTCCTGGTTTAATAGCTCAAGCACAGGCCCCGCCCCCGAGGGTGTGGCTCCACGGCATCCTTGAGGGTGCAGAGAATTAGGGTGCTGACCTCTTGTATAAACCCTGCTTGTAAGCGCCCACATTTCAGCCACACGTGTTAGTTTTTGTAAAAGCAGCGACTTGTCATTATTTGTGTGTATTGAGTGACTTTGGCACCACCTGATCTTAATTGCTCTTACCTGCTCTCTGTGGTGTAGGAGAGCAGTTTACAGCTAGAGAAACATGACAATGTGTTACGTGCGGAATGTGGAGCGTGTTGATGAGTGTGTGTGTGTGTGTGAAAAGAATCTGCAGGTAGCAGGGTCAGACTGTGGACGGCTCTGAGCTTGGGTTTTCTCCCGGAGATTTCTGGGAGAGATATAGCCAGGCAGACTGGGAAAGGGAAATATGCTCAAGAAGTGATGCCAGGGCATTGCCACCCACCATCCCCACCGGTGAGGGCTGGTGACTGCTGGCAGGGAAGAACCACTGGCTGTGGCATTTTGATTAGCTCTGCGCTGATCCCTCACTCTTGGTCCTTGACGTTTGCTTTGCATTCCCCAGCCATCCAACTAATCACAGTTGTGCCTGAAGAAATGGGTCTTGTGTGGGCTTTTCCTTGGTGTCTCAAGCATTAGCACTGCAACTAAGTCATCAGAAGGGGAGTTGTGGAAAGCTGGGAGAAACCAAAAGGGATGAAATGCCGGTGGATTTTCTCCAAAGTAAATGACAGCCAAGCTCCTGGCTCCTCTCTTACCAGGTTTTCTGAGAATGGTGTGAACCCCTTACTAAACCATCCCAGGGTTACCCATCTGGCTACTGGCAAAACTGTCATCCAGCTTGGGTCTGAGAATTGCATTGTATGAGGGGAAAGAGGCACCAGCATCCTTCTCCCTGTTATAGTCCTGTGGATTTGCCTGAGAGGATTTTACCACTGAGCTAAGTTGCCAAGGCCAGCCTCCAACTTGCAATCCTCCTGAGTATTAGAACTACGAACATGTGCCACCAGCCCGGGCTCAGGATGGACATGCTTATCTTTATTTTAGGATGAAATAATAGAACCATGCTCAGAAAATTCGTGAACTGATTCAATGGAGGGAAATGAGTGTTCTCACTGCTTATTCTTTATACCAAAGTAACAAGGGACTGTGAATCAAGTTTCATTTCTGCATTGTCACATAGGTGGCAATTAGCCATGTGGCCATTTCAATCTCAACTTCATGAAAATGAATGCAATACAAATTTTGGTCTTGAGTCGCAATCGTCATATATGAAGTACTCAGTATTTACACAAGTGGGGATCATTGTCCTGAGCAAGAAGTAAGATTTTCTGTCATTGCAAAAGACTGCTTTGTGCAGTGCTGCTTTACAAAGATAGATAAATCACATTGCTCTTTTAAGGTAAATGTCCAATCCAGTTCTTGAGAAAACTTATCAGGAAAAGATCTTTGCCTTTTTTTCAGGTGCAGTGTTTATGGCTGTAAATTCACATGTGGTGATGATAATATATTCCTTACACTCCAGTTTTCCTCAATTTGCAAAAGGGTAGTACAGTATCATTGTTACATATTGACTACTAAAAAATCCACCTACCATGGCTTTCTCCTGTTTCCTAACCTCTTTTGTTTATGTGGCTCTACAACACTTGTGGGTTGTGTAGCCATTCAAATATTCAAGACACAGAACACTTCCATCAGCCCAAGGTTCACTCAAGTTAGTCTTTTATAATCAGACTCATTTACTCCCAACCAGCTGTGTCTTCACACAACCAGGCATCCGCTCCCCATTTCTATTCTTTTGTTATTTCAAAAATGTTACATACAGAAAGTCACATTATGTGTACAATTTGGGATTTTCTTTTCCACCCAGGATAGTTTGACAGTTTGGGATTTTCTCCATTATTCCAGTGTATGTTTGGTCTCTCACTGGTTGGACTCTGCACACTGCTAGCTTCTTCCTTCTTTGCTTCTGGATTAGATTTAGGAGTGGATTCACTCAGTGAGAGCTCATAGTGTGCAGGAAATTGGAGCATGTCAAGCTCCCTGTTCCCTGCTGCTGAAAAGGGAAAAACAAAAAAGGGTCGTGCATCATGGGTCATGATTTTTACCCTGGTCGTTTATTGTTTCAGTCATGGAACCAACCTAAGGATTGACAGGTCAATGGGCTCCAGAATATGCACATATTATGTACTGATAAGAAGGTAATGTTATCAAAGTAGGCACATTTTCCCACTGTGCTGTATCACAGTCACTGAGAAAATCAGCTTTGCAAAGAGAAAATGTCACTCACAAGGGTTCTGAGAATGGGGGAGAATCTCAAGTCTCAGACCTGCTTCCTCTGGGACAGGGCTTGGGGCTATGCATGGGATGAAGAAGTGGAGCTGTCTGAGGTGAGGAGAAAGGTGGCTGTAGCTGAAGAGTCAGTGTCACTGCAGGTGTAATCCAAGTTTTTGGCTGTCACGGAATGTATGTTCATAGTCTGACAGTATTAGCATGGGCCAGCAGAAAATGTCATCTGGAAACGGGACACCAGCATGGGCCCCAGTGCAATCTTTGTTTTTGACAAAAGCAGCCTTTGAGTATTCGAAAAGCAACTTAGGAAAGGATATCACAACCCATATCAGAGGTATCATGGACAGCAAAGCTAGTGGGAGATTAAGAATATATTAACTCAGCTATGTGACCTCCCAAGTTATTGATTCTTAAAGTCAATTAAAGGCATCTGGGCATCATTTGCATCCCTGTGATTCCAGCGACTTAAGAGGTTGAGGTGGGTAGATTAGGAGTTGGAGACCAGCCTAGGAAAATAGGAAGACTGGGTCCTAAAACAATACTTAAAAAAAAAAATAGCCAACTCTTGCAAGTAACTAAAAGCAAACGGAGCAACATGTTTCATTTTTGTTTTGGTTCAGTTTCATTAGTGTTTGGAAAAGGTTCCATTAACAATTGATTCAAGAGAAATAGTTCTGCTATTGGTACTAGAGAAAGAAAGTAATGTTTGAAATAAAAACTTAATGCCAGATAAATGCCCCAAATAATCTCTAAAAGATGGATAGGAAAGTTGCCTTTTAAATGCAACTAATGAACCATAAGTAAAGTAGGTATTTTCATTTTGGGGAAGGGGTTGCAAGAATAGTACAGCAATTCTGGAGGAAAAGACTGACAGATTTAGCAGCTGGAAGCCTTCTGAATATTTGTTTTGGGAAAGCCCCATAATTTAAAACTGTGAAAGGAGTTCTCCGTAGAGGATTTGTATTTTTTTTTTCTATAGCATTTGGATGTGGACTCAGTGGAGTTTGATTGTTTACATTTTCCTTTCCTTGCTAAGGTTGAGAATTTCTTTTCCTGTTTCTTTCGTTTTTTTCCCGCCAGCCAAGTGTCCTTTCCTGTCACAGGAAATCTCTCTGCCACTGAACAGTGTTCCCAGCCCAGGGTCTTAGTTCTGGTGTATTTGTTAAGAGACTTTTGAAACATGACACTTAGTCTGGCTTCTTCATTATTTGGGTAAAAACATACAAACTAGGAGTAAAGGTGGATGTTCCAGACCTTTCTTATTGTTACTGAGTAGCTCCTTTAGAAATGGCTGGGCAATCAAAAGTGTTCTAGGTCCTTCTTCCCTTGAACAAATAATTGTAGGAGAGAAGCCAAAGCAGTACCGAAAGTTTACTTGAAATATGAGGGCCGAATGGGTATGGGAGAAATCAGCTCTGCATAATGAATTTGGGCAGAGCAGGGGAAAAGGAAGATAAAAGCAGAAATAAAAGTACTTCATCTGGGAGAAGCAGTGTGAGCTACTGTGAACAATCACACTGGGGCTCTGCCTGGAGTCTACCTCCTTACATGTAGTCCACACCTTGTGGGAACCAGTGAGAAGTTCCACATCTGGGGTCCTGAGAATTATTTGATGCTCTCCTGGGGTCTTGTAATTGACAGGTCCCAATTGTTACCAAGGAAGCTTTGACCCATCTTGTCTCCTACATTATTTTACTGCTGATGGTTATGTTGTCAGACATAACTTCTTGATGAGAGTCCAAGTTGGGAGACTATCTTGATGGTTATACGCAGAAGTGCTTTATTCCATCTCTTAGTTTGTGAAATAAATTCATATTTTTGCTACCTACTAATCACAGTGTTTTGTCTTATAGAACAGGGTTACACGGTGTCTATTGAAATGTGTTGGAAAAGACTGTTAAATCATGAATTATGAAGCTCTCGGGGCCTTTCCTTGTTTGTGAACTGAAATTCAGAGAACCGAATTTGACACTGTCTTTTCTTATTTTCCATACTTGTTTAATAGATTCAATAAGCTGTGTGGGAGCATGGTGTCCTAGATCAGCTGCTTAGTAGTTATAAAACTGTAAGGAATTTAATATTGTGATGATACACCAAGCCTGACTCTAAATTGGCAAGTTCAGAATTTAACCAGTAATAAACCACTTCATGAAGGACAAAGTCCAAGGTGAACTGAATTCTATGACTCTTGTACAGAAATGACTGTGCATGTTAAAGGCAGAGTCAAAGATAAAGTTGGGGTGGGAGTGGGGCTTCAGGATTTGGGAAGTGGAAAGTTACAGAGTGTCTGTCACTCAGTGTGAAGAGCAATTGTGTCTGTTCAGTCCCTCAACAGTAACCCTCAACAGTAAGATCCAATCTTCTGTACTGCAGGAAAGATAGCTGTCTTCAAAAACTCAAAAAACAACAAATGTTGCCCCAGGCTACAGTGAAAAAGGAACCTTTCTACATTGTTGTTGTCTGTCTGTTTTCTCATTGCTGGGACAAAATACCCAACACCCAAAGTTAAAGAAGGAAAGGTTTATTCAGCTTAGTTTGTACAGGTTTCAGTTCATAGTTGGCTGGCTTCAAGGCAAGGTGGCATGGCTGAAGGACAGAGGAGAAACAAAGGAGAGGAGAAACAGTTCATGATAGGCGGAAGGCAAGGTTCAAGCTACAAGTGACACACAGTGACCCTCTTTCTACCCCTTGTATCTTACCTGGGCTGCTCACCTGTAGGGTGGGAATCACTCACACCCATGTGTGCCTTCCCATTCTCCACACTCAGAACTATGTTAAACTTATCAGTGAACTGATTTAGTAATCACACCCTTAATACCAGTATCACACATTCTAGATCCACTCATCTCTGAAAAGCCCCACCTATGACTGCATAAGGTTTTGCGGGGACATCTGGACATAAGCCTTAACAGTAGACATGTAAACTAGTATAACCACTATGGAAATCAGTATGTAGATTTCTCAAGGAACTAAAAATGTAATCCTAGCACTTAGTGGCAGGAGGATGACCATGAATTTGAGGCCAGCCAGGGATAAATGAGACCCTGTCTTAAAAAGCAAAACAAAAATCCCCTAAAAACACAAATTTTATGTGACCTAGCTTTATCTCTTTTGGGTAACTCTTCTCCAAAGAGTTAAAGTCATCAAATTGCAGTGATACATGCATGCCTATGTTTATAGTAGCACAACTCATACTAGCTAAATCTTGGAAGTAGACCCAACAACAGCGGAATGGATAAAGAAAATGTGACATATACATAATGGAGTACTACTCAACCATGAAGGACACATTTGAGTCATTTGTAGGAAAATAGATGCACCTTGATACAGTGATGAGAACTGAAATAAATCAGACACAGGTTAAATATCATGATTTCTCTTATATGAGAAACTGAAAATATAATTTGAAAAGCAAAATAAAAGATAGGAAGCAGGGAGGTAGACTTTGTGGAGATTGGAAGAGGTCCTAAGGATGAGTGAGGGAGATGGGAACGAGGCGAGGGGAAGGAGAAATAAAAATTATTAAAATATATCTATATGAACAAATTTCCAAAGAAGTGAATGTAATTAGTTTGCACTGGAAACACAAACTAGTTAAAAGGCTAAAAAATAAGCTTATAAGAAGGAAAGTCATAAAAAACAATAATCAAGGATAAAAAATTGTCCATTTTTTTCGATCAGAGGACACAGGGCCTATCAGTTTTAATGACTATATTTCAAAGATGTCTTTCAGGTCTGTTAAGTAGCTTTGAAATGATTCCAGACCCAGTTGTTATGTGGTGCTTTGGAATAGAGTTCCCTTCCTTTGGGGAGTGGGACATTTGATCACAATCAATATGGGACACCTTGGAGTGAACACTTGTCTCTAGGAGTGTGACCTACATCTTTTGGATCCACATTTGAGAACTTCTGTGATCTTTTACTTCTGTCAGAAATGTTATCTCAAATCTGGCACTGCCTTCCTTCATGGAAGGACCTCATGTGCCCTTGAAGATCTCTGCTGCAATGCTCAAGCCAGCGTCTTCCAAGAACTTCTCAGAGAAAGGTTTGTCACCAGTGCTCATTAGATTTTATTTTCTACAGAAGCAGTTTTCATCCTAATTGAGCAACTGTATTTTAATCATTTGGAGACTCACTATAAGTGGGTTACTATATGTCAATGGAGTATGTCTCCTGTGAGGTTTGGTGACATATTTTCTCCTTCTTTACTTTGTGTCTGAAACAAAAAGAAATTCCTCTTTGAATAACAAGAAACTATGTGATTTGTAAACACATACTTTGATTTCCTTTTTGTCTCTAGACCCAAGGTCTCTGAGATGGACATTCCTGAGTTGTGGGAGAGACATATTCATTTTGGAGGGACAGAGGAATAATTCACATCTCTTTTAGTAAATAATTTAACAGTAAGTGGCCAGGGTTCTAGGTCAGGTGTTAGTTTAATAGTTTTTTGGAGGCCTTAAACATTCTCAGGAAGGAACTTAAGGGGTGGTAGGACTAATATTTCTTGAGAGACAAAAACCTTCAGCTGTTAAAAGCTTTGTAAAAGGTTTTATGAAAAAACAGGTGGAAGGAGTCATTCATGATAAGTCTCTGTAATTTCTATAGGACAAGTTTTTGCCCAGAGAAATTTGACTAAATTAAGTCAAGAAGAGAACCTTTGCCAATTCCTATGCACAAAATGGTAATGCATAATCATTTTCCTCTTTCATAACAGTAAAATGACTCATTAATATTGTCTATTTTCTTCCTGTCTTGTAGAAAACAGCAAGACAGATTTTGTTGTTGTTGCAAATGGGAAGAGAACCAAGAGATAGAAGGTAGGGGATATAGAGGGCTGAGGCGGTGGGAAGGGGATGTAAAAAGGATTAAGGTATGTTATGTACATGTACCAGCTCCCTATATACTCATTATGTACTGCAAACATATACTAATAAAAACAAAAGTAAATATTTAATATGAAACATTAACAAAATAGAATGCAGATGTATAAGAATGTGATCCGTGGAGCTGCAATAATTATCTTGGGACCAGGAGGGAACAAACAAAAAGATATATTGAATAGCCAACTTACAAAGCATGAGAGGCAACTGTTCAGTTTCTTTGCTCTGCTTTCACTGTAGAGTAGCCTTCTTCCGGTGCCCTTTCCATATGAAGACAGAAAGCATTTCGCATTTGTAACTGCCATATTCATGGATCTCTGATCAAATAAATCTTTTTTTTTTTTTAAACTCTGGGTTTTAGCCAACCTCTCCTGTAATCCCTTTCCTGAGATTATAGGCACGTACTACCATGCTGGACTAAAACCCTTACAATTTTTAACTTGTCCAAACTTACATTTTTTTTTTTTTTTTGGTCTTTTTTCGTTTTTATCGGTACCAGGGATCAAACTCATGACTGCCTGCTTGCAAGGCAGGCGCTTATGCCACTAAGCTAAATCCCCAGCCCCTCCAAACTTACATTTTAATACTTCCTAATCAGGAACTGTATCTCCAGCTCAATCACCTTTAAAAATAATTTTAGCACTGGGAATATAACTCAGAGGTAGCGGTTACCTAGCATGCAAGGCCACCAAAAAAACAAAACAACCCTCAAAACAACAAAACACACAAGAAAAAACCCAAAACTTCCAAATAAAACAACCCCCAAACTTTAGAAGTGTAGTACCAGAATACCTTCTACTTCTCACTCATTTTCTCCAATTATCATCTTACTATCATAGTGAATTTGTCACAACTAAGAAACCACACTGGAACGGCAGTGATCAGTAAGTGCCACCCTTTACTGGTCTTTCACTCATTTTCCCTCTAATAGTCTTTTTGTATTCCAAGCCTCCTCCAGGATACCACATTACACTTAGTTTCATATCATTCTGGTTCATGACAGTTCGCCAGTTTTTTTCATGATACAAAACGTGTTTTCAGGGTACAGGTCAGATGTTTTAGGACTTGTTTTTTCTTATAGAACTGGGTTATATGGAGGACTACCTTAGAACATGTTATCCACATTATTTACTACTGATAACATTCTTGGCCACCTGGCTAAGGTAGTATTTGCTAGCTTTCATATCTCTATGTTGTTCGTTCTCTCCAGAAATCAAGCTTCTAATAAGGACCATTAATGCAGAAACCGAGCTCCCTCTCCTGGAAACAGTACGCAAAGAAATTATGTAGTATTTTCATGCAAGGTAGGTAATGGGGATAGAAAGGAAACAGGAAGAGGGGGTGCAGTCACGAGAGGGGTGAGCCCGGGTCTCGGCAGAAGAGTGGAGGGGGACTGGTACAGTGGGTTGGGGACCAGGTATGGGGACTCAAGGATCCAGCCAGGTACCGGGCAGGCGAGGTCGGCGGGAGAGGCTCTGCGGTAGTTTGAACAACTGCTTAAGAAAAAGACTTGCAGGTCGGCTCCTGGGCGCAGACTGCTGCCCGCGAGCCCCACAGATCTTATACCGCCTGTTGGCCGCAAGGGGAGTGGTTGAAAGGTCTGAGCTCTGGGTGTTAGAAAAAAAATTTTTTTTCCCTGAAAAGCTGCGCATGCGCCCTTGGGGAGGAAGTGGCCAGCAGCGGAGGGAGGTCCGAGGGCTCAGCGTTCGTGACGACCCTCATCCTTTCCTCAATTTCATCTTTTTCGTCCCTTTGGATTACCCGAAGAGCTGTCTGGTTTCCACACGCGCGCCCGCCTGCCCACTAGTGCCGTCATTTTGGAGGGCGCGGCCTGTGCGGACGAAAACGCGAAGGACTTCCGGGTCGCGGCCTTTCATTGCCTGGGTAACGGAGGCGGGGTTTTGCCCCGGTTTTTCTTAGTATGACCTATTTGTGTGAAAAGAAGTGCTTTCCTTAGCCGACCCGCGTGAGACCTGTGTACTGCTGTTGCCTCTCATCGGTATTTCCTGGCGCCCTAGGTGGCAAAGGGACCCGAGGGCCCTGGGGTCTGACGTCTTCCAGCTCGGCCTTGAGGAGGGAGTTGTCAGTGAGAGCTCTGGGGACGCAAACCGTGCCTTTGGCCGGCACCGGGACACTACGGGGACCTCGTGGCCCTGGTGAGAACCGAGCCCGGGACATACGGAGGGGGAGACTGCGCTCGACGTTTGGACCTGATTCCCAACTTCCGGTGCAGCTACCAAGGAATTTGCAGCCTCTGAGTGTTAAGGCACCAGCGGTTACTTAGCGCTGGTCATTTGTTTCTCGCTCCTATTTATATTTAGAGGTAGCTTTTAAAATCAGTTACATCGCTATGTAAATATGTATATAAGTAATGGATTATGTTACGCATATTCTCATACACTAATGTATGTGAGAATAGCATACAAAAGTAGTAAAAGTCTAGCACGTTTTTGAATTACCATCCCCAAATAGTCTTGATATTTAAATATGCATGATGTGCTCAAAAACAAACCCAAAAGGGATTACGTGCTTTGTAATATTCTGAAACTTTGTACTCTGTATGCTTTGCATATGTTTATAAACCAGCACGAGCGGTACTTTCTTTGTAATAGTTGCATTAGTTTCTATCATTTTATAAGAAGCTTCACTCTGTTGCCTGTACCATACTGTTCTGTTTAATGGATTTCATTTATCTGCTTTTAAGGAAGTAGCATATAGAATCTCTAATACCCATTTTAGATTTTATCTCTGCTTGTATGCTCTGCTTGTATGAGTCCCCCCCCCCCAACACCTAGTTAATTATATTCATTTGAAGATCCTGGTCTGTAAGAACAGGCTGTTGTTTAAGACTGAAAGAGGATTTTTTTCCCAGTCTCTAAAATGTCTTAGTGAATGGTGGCTCCTTAGTGAATGGTGGTTTGATTTTAAATGTAGTTAATTTAAATTTATGCTTTAGTAAATGTTGATTAGGATTGAAATGTGAAAATCCCTACAGTACATGTTAAGAAATAATTTATGAGAATTGCTATGATTAATCATTCAGTAGGGCCCAAAGATAAAATTGTTTTAGAGGAACCTGTGGAACCGCCATCACTGCGGGATCCAGATTTGGTTCTTGGTATCAATCTTATCTCTACAAAAACACTTTAAATATACAAGTTCCCTCAACTGCAAAACAGAGAAAAGAAGAAAAGTGAACCAAACATCTTGCTGAGAAAGTTTCCCGAAATACACATTTCTATAATAAAGGGTGCAAAGAACAGTGATTATTGTATAGCTGGAAAGTAAGACTAAGAAGTGCTTTTTATTTTAGAATAGGCATCTACTTGTAGAATGCAGAAGGGAAGAGGAAGAACAAGCCGGATCAGAAGGCGAAAACTCATCCGAAGTTCTGAATCAAGAGGAGGTAGTTTTGTTTTGGTGGTGGTGATGAAAGAAACTGGTTGATTGCTGTCTGTTTACACATGTAGGTTTTTCTGAAAGTAAAGTATCATAGAGGATATTTGTTAATGAACATTCTTGAATGGTGCCCTTATATTCTTTTAAACTGTGGTGAGAGTAGTATGATTCTATTTAACTCTGCTTCAGCCTCTTATCTAGAGATGGTGACCCCACATTTTTGGCTCTGGTGTCTTCTAGTTTACTGTAGGATATCCATGTGTGGGTGTAAATTCATCACTTCTAACTCAGTGTAACGAAGGCTAAATGAGGTATAGCATATGAAAGTGCTTGGCCAACTGTAAAGTGCTATGTAAATAGGATCGTACTACTCTCACCACATGCCATAGTTTTCCACCGCTGGGCTCGGGTGCCCTAGAGGGTGTTTCATGTGCACGTGAGAATAATGTGTGTTCTGCTGCTGTTCCGCGATGTTCGTTAGTCCCACCTGGTTCATTGTGTTGCCATCTTTTTCCTTGGTGATGTTGTACTCAGTTGTTCTGCTCAACTACTGAAACAGGTCTTCAAATTTCTAGTTACTACTGTAGAACTGTCCTTTTCTCCTTGGACTTCTGTTAGCTTTTGCTTCATGTATTTTAGGGCTGTGTTGTTAGATTCATGTACGTCTGTAATTATTACATCTTTCTGATGGATTAACACTTTTATCATAAAACGCTCCTCTAACTCTAGTAGCACCTTTGTTTTAATGTCTTTTTTTGATGGTACTAGAGCAGTCTCTCCAGCTTTTGTGCTGCAGTGGTACGTGTAATCCATCTTTTTCATGCTTTTACTTTTGGTATATCTTTGAATCTTGTACAGAGGATTTCCTTGGGTCTTGTTTTTATCTTTAACAAACTAGTTTTTGCCTGGATTTCTTAATTCATTGACATTCAGTGATATTGTTGATACTTGGATTTACACGTGCCATTTTATGTTTTGCTTTTTATGTGTCTTGGGTATCTTTCTCTTCGCTCTTCCATCTTTCCTTTACTGTGTTCTTTTGTGTTAAATCATTATTTTCTAATATAAACATAGTTCAAGGGCTTACCGTCTATGCCTTAGCCTGCTCAGTTTGTTTTTGTCTAGGTCTTAGGCATCTTGGGCCACCATGGCAAAGTGCCATAGACTGGTCGGCTTAAACAATATAAATTTACTTCTCACTGGAATGGATGCTGGAAAATTTAAGATCTGGGAGCAGGCTGGCTGACTTGGCTGACTTGGTGCTCTTTGTGGTTGTAGCCAGGTGCATTTTGAGTGTGCCCTCATGTGGTAGGTATCTGTACCTCTTCTTCGTTTCTTTTTCTTTTTTATGGGGACCTAGGTTTTGTGAGGATTTAAGACATTCTGTGAGGATAGTCTCTGTGGCTGTAAATATGCACTCTCCCACCCCCTCTCTCCTGTAAGTCCCCCTACCTAGTCCTATAAGGAAGGCTGCACTGTCACGACCTTATCTAACTGTCCTTATCTCTCTAGGGGTCCCCTCTCCAAACATTGTGAAAGTGGGGGTTAGGTTGCAACATAGGAATTTCAGGAAGGCACAAACTTTCAGTCTGACAGTCTTACTTATTTTAGTTGTTCTTAGTAATATTTTGTACTTTTTGATACACAAGCCTTGTATGTTATCTTTTAAGAATTTCATAGTTTTGATACTACTAAAATAATATTTTAAAAATTTAAATTTGTGCCTGTTTATTGCCGGTATATAGAATTAAATGTTTGATTGTGATTTTATAAACTGCATTGCTGAACTCACTAGCTTTGTTGTAAATACTCCATCTTTTACTTATGTGATGGTGTCTTCTGAGAACAAAAGTTTTACTTGTTTTTTCATTTGATTTCTTTGATTTAGCTTTCTAGATACATTTTACTGGCTGACCTCTCAGTACAATATTGAAATGGGATAGGGGGAACAACCAGACATTCTTATTTTTTGTTGGTCTTAGGAAGAAAGCTCTAGTTTTTTTTATCATTATATGTGTCAGATATTTGTATTTTAAAGGTATTTTTCACCAGATTGAGAAAATTTTCTTCTTACTAGTTTACTGAGAACTTTTATCAGAATAGATGTTGGATTTTTATCAAATGCTTTTCTTTATTGATCAAGATGATCATGTGGTTAATGGTTTAGCTGTCTTAGATTACACTATTTGTAGTTTTTTCATATGATTTATTCCCCTTTGTGTTAGTCAGATTTTTATCACAGTGACAAAATATGTGAGAAAAGCAACTTAAAGAAGTGACATTTACAAGCTCAAGGCCCTAAGTTTGATTTCTAGTAAAAAGAAAAAGAAAAAGACCAAAAGTAACCTTTATTTGGGCCCATGGTTTCAGTCCATAGTTGCTTGGTCCCATTGTTTTTGTGCCTGTGGTGAGGCAGAACATCTTTGTGAAAGGGTGTGGAATAACCTACTTGGTCATGGCTACCGAAAGACAGTGTGGGCTAGAGAAGAAGGTGCTGGGGACAAGATGACCTTCCAGGGCACACCATCAATGACCTATTATTTCCTTCAACTAGGCTTTACCTCCTAAAGTTTCTACCATCACCCAGCAATGTCATCAAGTTATGAGTCTAACAGTGGATTATTCCACTGTTGAGATCCAGGTCTGTATGCTCCAGAGGCCTCCAGAAGTATTACCTCTGAGCCCAGCTGAACTGATGGGGCCAACCCCGACACATGAGATTCTGGGGGATAGTTCAAGTCTAACCATAATGCCTTACATGATCTGCTTGATATACTTCATCAAAGATGTTCTTTTAATATGAAAACCTGGTTATACAGTGATTTTAATCACCCCATGTTCTTTCCTTTCCTAATTAGTAAATGAGAGCCATAAGCCTGAATTTATAAAGCTAAAGAAGTGGCTGAAAGACAGAAATTTTGAAGACACAAATTTAATGCCTGCTCGATTTCCAGGTAAGAGTGTTGCAGTGGACTTTCCTGATCCCTCTCTGGTGAGGGCCACGTGGAACCCTGGGGTGATTCTCACAGTGCGATGGGTTTTCTCTGCCTTCCTGCCTTGGAGCTGTACTATTTATTTATACTTCACATTGGTGTAAAAGTGAATGAAAGTGACTTGCAGAGAGAAATGACAAAACTATGAAATGAAGTTTAAAAATTGGAAAAGGTAAATGAGCATAGAAGCGTAAATGGGAGCCGTAAATATGTGTAACACCTGAATGCCACAGTTATAAAATCTGACACACTTGGCAGAGGCAAGCTGCAGACTGGATTCATCTTTCCAGCAGCTTGCACAGTGGATAGATTGAGGACCTTGATCCGAATGTAAGCTAGACTGCGTTGTTTACTGAGCAGAAATCGAAAGACATGTGTATGCTTTGGTGAGTGGTGTGTTCAGCAACATCGCTGTGATGGTTTTGTGGTTCAGACTTGCAGGTTAATGGGATTTTCCTAGTCCCTGTAGGTAAGAATAGTTTCCTAAAGCAGAGGGAGGTTCCAGAACCATCTGAGGTATGTGTTCTCCCTTGATGGTGTGGCTGCCGGAGAGTTTGCTGGGGAGGCCTCAGCTCGTTTGTCCTTGGCTGGTTTGTAGCTGTGGTTGGAGGAGAAGTCCTGTGTGGGGCCAGTTAGTCGCAGAGCTGCAGGCTTCCACAGTCACCTGAGCTGAGACAGATAAACATTCTCTTCTGTAAATGGAATCCTTTATTATGAGGTTAGATTGACATTTTCTTCTGGAACATTCTCTCCCAGAAGCTAGACATCTTGCTGTGTGTGTGCCTGCAAAGCCACCTTGCTCTACTCCTGCGTGGGCTAGAGATGACCGCAGAGTGGGACAAGATGCTCTTTGAAAGGACTTGGGGCCCCAGTGGCACAGGATAGTTGTGTGATTAGGACCCTGAAGTTCTACATCCAGGGGAGACTGCAGATAGTTCAGCTCACACAGAAATTAGGGTACATTGCACTGGCCATTAAAATGATCACTCAGGTACCGTTAGGTAACTGAACTTAAAGCAAATTAACTTTCTTTGACATCTTCAAGATAAATGTTTTCCTATGTGCGGCCTTAGGTGAGTGTGGTGATGAGGAGGTGTGTGAACTTGTTCCCCAGGAGTACGTCGCAGAGCAACTGGGGTGAGGGGGTGTAAGATGCTTTTTTTGAGCCATGAGCCTAATGAACAACAGAGAATGGCTCCCAGAAACATGCTGTGGTGAGGTTCAGGGAAGCAAAGGGAAGACAGGACTTTTAAAGGAGAAATGAGAGCTGGGTGTGGTGATGCATGCCTGTAATCCCAGCACTTGGGAGGCTGAGGCAGGAAGATCACTGTGAGTTCAAGACCAGTATAGGCTACAAAGTGAGCTCAAGGCCAGTTTGAACTGCATAGCAAGACCCTGTCATAAAAAAAAAAAAAAAAAAAGAATAGGGGCTGGGGATTTAACTCAGTAGCATAAGCACCTGCTTTGCAAGCGTGCAGTCGTGAGTTCGATCCCTGGTACCAATGAAAAAAAAAAAAGGGTTTGGTAAGTTGTTTTGAAACAGCTGTCGCTGGTTACAAGAACCAATAATAAGGCTGCTGTTCGTCCCAGATTGAACAGGTAATTGCTGAGCAAGCTTCCTCATGGAACTATTTTTGGTGCAAAGGTATGACTTTGGCCGACTATTTTGTGACAATTTGAAGAAATCAAGTGTGAAAACCCTCCCTTGGCCTTCCCTGGCTCCTTTTTGTCTAGGTTTCACACAGGTGACTGCATTTTGGTTCTGAAAATGTTCACAGAGCTGTTTTTATTAGGGCTTCTCCTTGTGTATGATCGTGAACATGATTGTCTTCTACAAACAGAATGTTTAACTCTGTTTCTTTGCGACAGAGGATGGTCAATGAAAAGCACTATCTCAGATTACTGTACTCTGTGGAGTTCTTTGCCAGTTGATCAAGAGAAAATAATGTCAGGAGTCTTGCTTTAAGATCTTTAGGTCTCAACCTTACCTTGAGCTTCAAGGATTATAAACCCACAGGTGGTTCATTCTTAGGGTATTTGCCAGTAGAGCTTTCTGATCCTGTCCTGCCTGAAAGACAGGAATGGAATGAAAGCGACTTGCAGAGAGAAATGACAAAACTATGAAATGTTTAAAAATTGGAAAAGGTAAGTGAGCATAGAAGCATAAGTGGTAAATGAGCATAGAAGCATATCTAGACACTAGCTTTACCTTTAGATGACTTTGAACTTCATTCGAGGTTCTTACTCTAATGGGATCTCTCAGACCTTGAAGTTGTAGTTGGATTTATCCCTTTCTTGTCTTTGCTTCCATAGGTACAGGCAGAGGGCTGATGAGCAAGACATCCCTGCGGGTGAGAACTGCTCTTTTATCTTGAAACCCAATATATTTTTTGCTGATTTATTTTTGGAGTTTAAATGAAGTGAATTAAAAGTATTTCAGATGTGATGATGTTTCTCTTACTTGCCTAACGGATGTGTATGAATACAATTCTGTCTATGGGATTGAGTTTGCTGTATAGAACTTTATATTTCTGTCATTTAAATGAGTGTGGAAAGAGTCACCCTGAGCTGGTGGGCCATGGCCATGGCCATCAGAGGCCCAGACCTTTTCCCACCCTGTCGCTCCTGGAGTCTCCCCAGGGTTCTTGATTCCTGGGCAGCAGAAGGCAGCAAGCTGGAGGGGAAGGGCAGGCTTTCTCCTTTTGAGGACCTTCCACCCCCATCTGATAGGTCAGTGAGAGGTGGGGCTCATGGTTCACTGAGTCCAATGGAGGGGAAGGTGTGGTCTCCTTTCCCTGGCCATGTGTCACCAAGTGAGACTGCCACAGGAGGAGGAGGAGAGAAGGTGCTGTGGGGAGAATCTTGCATCTGTTTTTCAGCACCTTAATTCATGTCTGTACTTATGTCACACTGCTGTCTGATGTCTATTACTTTACTTGCTAAAACTGCAAACCGTACTTTTGCAAGTGGTAGAATTAGATTCCCGCTGTGCTAGGTGTGCAGCCCACTCTTAAGCTGGTGGGTACTGATCACGTGGAGAAGCGGCTGCTGTGCTGTCCTTCAGAGCTGACTGGATAGCATTTTTGTTTTTGTTTTGCTTTTTAGAGTCAGGGTGTCTATGTTGTCTAGACTAGTGTGGCCAAACTCCTGGTTTCAAGTGATCCTCCTGCCCCAGGCTCCCGAAGCTGGGACCCCAGGAGTAAGCCACTGTGCCTGCCTTCCTCAGGTGAAGTTTTTCTGAGTGGCATCTTCTTGGTCCTCTCGATAGCACGATGAGGGGATAGTGTGACGTGAGTGGTCAGGGTATTCCCACATTCCCTTTTGGTGCAGGGTTGACTGGGAGAGTTTCCTTCCCGTTGGGGTTGTAAAACCTGGTGGCAGAGCAGCAGCTTTGCCTGGGTCTGCCGGGTGGGCTCGCTAGTGGCAGTAATTGGGTTATGGGGGCTTCAATATTGGGTTATGGGGGATTCAGTAAATGGTCACTCTGTAGATGATGTGGGGTCAGGAACTTTATAAAACTCATGCACACAGTTTCTTCCCAAAGTGTGGCTGTCTTCAACTTTCTTTCTTTTTGGCAAGGAGGGGCAGATGATTATTTCATTACCTGGGAGTTGCCTGCTCACCACGGACACGGTGATTCGAAGCTCTTTAGGGGCGTACATCATTAAGTAAGTAACACCAGCACGGTTATCTGGTGCCAGTGGTTCTCCTTGAGGCCTCTGTCACTGACAAACATCTGTGCTAAGGGACAGTTCATGAACATCAAGCCCCTTGCCTAGCTAAGAAGTACCTAAACTGAATGCAAAGGTTTTCTATTTTCAGTTCCAGGAAGTTAGTTCATTGTTAACTGCATTTTAAAGATCTTTAATAGGCTTCCTAGAATGGGGATGTGAATCCTCATCCATCACGTACTAGAAAACAAAGATAAAATAGAATAGTACATGTAAGTCACCACCTAGTGCCCTGATTCCCAGTGGCCTGTTCTTTTCCACCATAGCACGCCTTGACAGTTGTTCATTAACTATTTTAACTTTGCCCTTATTTTAGTTACACAAATTGTTTTGACATTATGGAAGAATTAGGAAGAGAAGAGAGTGGGTCCTGTAGGAGTTGTTTCCTGGCTGTTAGTGGTGGGGCTTTGTCATGGGCACCTATGAGGACAGAGTGAGTGAGAGTCTCAGCAGAGGGGATTTCTCTAGATGACAGCGGCTGTTCCTTACCATTCAGCTGTAAGCTGTAGACTTCTTCTTACCCAGCATGTTTTTGAATACGGGTAACACAGGTTAGACCTGATTATCGACAAGGCCGTTACTGGGCTTAACACTTTCAGAAGTTCTGAGTAGTCTCTCAAGTGTCGAGTAGAGTATATGGCAGTATAGGAATATAGACTTTGGAAGAGTAATGAAAACTTTTTCTTAATACATGCATGTCACATGAGGCCCTTTTTGGATAAGTATGCAAAACAAAAATACTTTTATGCATAATCCGTAATAGAGCATATACCTGCAGGAATAAAATTTTTAGGACTGCAACAAGTTTATAATGAGCACATTCAGTTTGCAGTCCAAGTGGGTGTCATTACAACTTGATAATGACAGAAGGATATAACTGTCTGTTGTCCAATATGGTGCACATTGGCCACAAATGGGTACTGCGTGTTGGAAATACGTCTTATCCTACTTAATAATTAAATTTTAAATATTTTTCAGCTTTAAATTTCAATCCATAGTTATATGTGTCCGGTCAATACTGTATTGAAGTGTACAGGCTAAGCCCTCCCCACTATATTTTATATCCTCATTTAGGTGAAAGAAATGTGTTTATTGGAAAAGCTCTCAAACTGGAGAAATAGGTTGGAAGTTTTTGCAAATAGGATTTTCTTGTGAACGAATCAGTCAGTTGGGTTAGAGTCTCTACTTTTCTGATGTAAATGTCTTGTTCAGAGATCCTATATGAGTTGTATTCTGGAGAGGAAAATTGTTAAGCTGTCTTGGGTGCATGAATTCAATTTAGATTACTAAAATTACTAAGTTTGAGCACAGTTCACTGGCACCAAGCAGACCGCTTGCTTTTTCCATATTTTGAATAAAAGTCATTTCTGTAACCAGTTTTTCATTTTACAAGGTGGAAGCCTCCTCCGTCCCCACTGTTGGCTTTGTGCACCTTTTTGGTTTCAGAAAAGCATGCTGGCGATCAGTCTGTCTGGAAGCCTTACCTGGATATTTTACCCAAGTCTTACACCTGCCCTGTTTGTTTGGAGCCAGAAGTGGTGAATCTTCTTCCTGAACCTTTAAAAGCAAAGGCTGAAGAGCAGAGAATGTCTGTGCAGCAGTTTTTTGCTTCCTCCAGAGACTTTTTTTCTTCCCTGCAGCCTCTGTTTGAAGAGGCCACGGACAGCGTGTTCAGCTACAGTGCCCTCCTGTGGGCCTGGTGCACTGTCAATACCAGAGCCGTGTACCTTAGGACCCGCAGGCGGGACTGCCTTTCCTTAGAGCCTGACACCTGTGCGCTGGCTCCTTATCTGGATCTGCTGAATCACAGCCCAAATGTCCAGGTGAGAAGCTGAAATGGTGATGTATGTTTTCTTTAGAGAGGCAGAATCCAGCATGTAGAGTCTGGGACTTTCAGTGCTCACTGAAAGAATTGAGAGAGACACTTTTGGCTCCAAGTAAATTTGTTACATCAGCCTACCCCGATCTTTGCTCCATAGGCCGTTGTCTGTCCTGGCATGCTTTTCCTTTGCCCTGCTTCTCCACTCTGCTGTTCCCCTGAAGATCTTTTACCATCCACCAATGCACAGAGTCTTTTTCTTACCTTCTGCCAGCCCGTGGCAGAAGTCTAGCTTCCATGCCTTCCTGTCCTTTCATCCTTGCTAACTTAGCTAGGAGAGGCTGTATCTTTGCTCCAGTCACTGATTGACTTCTCCCTTCCCCTACTAAGACTGAAATCTTTGAGGCGGGGGGGCTTTGTCTTGGTCCTCTTTGCATCCCCAGTGCTCAGAGCGGGACCTGGGCCAGAGTAGGTGTTCAGCAAATGTTCACTGTGTGGATGAATGTCCATGGGGAACAGATTCTGGGAAATCATGAAAGAATCTTGCTGGGTAAAGGCTTGACTGGAGGGAGAGAAGTGTCCATCTAGAAGCTCATCTGAGGCTGCATTCAGTGCAGCTCTGGAAGTTCCTGGAGGGGAGGGTGGTGGCAGGGTGGAGATAGCAGTGTATGTGTAGAAAGCTGGGGTCCTCATGGGAGGAAAAGGAACTGCACAAGCACTGCACTGCACTTACTTAAACACATTCAGCAGGCTGACGTCACCTGACACCCTCCACCTAGCCTCCTGCCTGCATGGTAGCCTAAGGGCTTGGTGTTGTCTGAAGCAGCTTGTTCACCTGGATCACTTCAGGGCCTTTTTGTTCTTGGACCCTGCATGTGTGACTGATCTCCAGCTTCAGCTGCTCCCCACAATCTGGAGCCCATTGGGGGCACACTGTGGGCCACATGGTGGGGAACGAACCTTTGCCATTCCCTTGGTGTGACATGCCATCACAAGAGTGCTGATAACTGTCCTGTTGAGCCCCCATGCCAGTGAGAGGAGAGCTCAGAGAAGAGTCCTGGCCTGTCCACTTTTTGCTTTTGTAGGAACTCAACAGTTGTTAGCCCAGTAACCTGAGGGGAGATGAATATGTGTGGCTGATGTTTAAGAAAAATAACAATTTCTCATTGTAGGTAAAAGCAGCATTTAATGAGGAGACTGGCTGTTATGAAATTAGAACGGCTTCGGATTATAGAAAACATAAAGAAGTGTTCATCTGCTATGGACCTCACGATAACCACAGGCTGCTCCTGGAATATGGCTTTGTTTCCCTCTGCAATCCTCATGCTTGTGTTTATGTCTCAAGAGGTTGGAACCAGCTTTGTTATGGTTAAGATAATATTTTTCCCATTCAGAGATATGGTTGAGTGTGTTTTTAGATACCAAAACCTTCAGACATTCTTGTTTGTCATTTATTTCATGCTGCACAAAGCTGACTTAACTTATGGATTCTGATTTCAGGGTTGAAGTCGAAACAGCAAAGCTGTGATTGATGATAGGGCTGAGGAGAGAACTGTGGTGTTTTAGGGCAGTGGGTCAGAAGGCGAGTGAGAGGAGAACTGCTACGGAAAGGCGTGTGTTCCTGGGGGGAAGGAATAGAAACGTTAGCGCTGAGGCTCCAGTCATTGAGGACCGGGCGTGACACCGGCGCCATGAATGGCAAATATGTACTCATCACCCACTCTGTGTAGGCCAGGGCTGGACACAGGGACAAGTCTGTTATTTCGTCCTTGTTATTGGAGTTTAATGCTATGACCAGATGTTGATTTCATTTGTTTCTTTGTGATCTAACATGCTGCTTTCATTTATATTTCTATTTTAAAATAGTCATTTAGGGGAACAAAAGTCCAAATTTAGTATTAAAAACAGTGCATATTGGAATGGATTGAAGGACATAAAAAAAAAAAAAAAAAAAAAACCAAATAGCGCATAGAAGGCTGAGTCCCCACTTTGGAGGAGAAGCAGTTTTTAGGCCACAAAGAAAGGACTGAGGGTGTGGCTCAGTGGTGGAACACTTGCCTCACTTGTTCAAAAACAAGTCTTGATTCCTAGCACCACAAACAAAGCAAACAAAACAAAATTTTAAAAAAAACTGAAAAAAAGCCTTTCACTACCCTATTCCTCTCTTACTAGCTTTGTCAGTTTTTGCCTATATATTTTAAGTAGTTTTTGGTTGGAATAATTAATGTCCAGACTATGTTGAATTCTGGCCTTTAAAACTCAGTTTTATAAGACTTTTTCCTTGGGTTTTATAGAGCCTGTACTATAGTTGGTGGTTATTTTCCAGAAGTGAGCATAATATCTTAATTCCCTGATTTTGCTGCTTGAGTTACTCTGTAGAAGCTGAGCTTGTGGAAGTTTTGTCTTCCGGCCTTGGAAGTCTTACAGCTTGTCCAGGGCTAACAATCTCACTGAATTGGGCCAGCAGAGCTTTCTTAGAGTTAGAGTTAGAAACACCATTTAAACATGCACACTGTGACTCCATTGCTGATGGGAAGGAAAGTTGAGAAGGGGAATCGTACTTTTCTCTTAATTCCACCCTAAATCTCTGATTTTTCTTCTTTTTAATGTAGAAATACTTGTTAAGTATCTTCCATCAACAGATAAACAGATGAACAAAAAGATTTCTATTTTAAAGGATCATGGCTTTCTAGAGTAAGTGTTGTATTTTCCCTGTTGGAATTGCTCCTTCAGGCAGTTCTTGACTTTCTGTAGGCGGTAGGCCCTTCCTGACTTGTATCAGCTGAGAGGTGGGTGTTTATCGGCCACTTGGCTGTCTGCAGTGCAGCTGTGCCCAGTTTTGTATCAAGGCGTATAAGATGCTTTAAAGACACTTACTTGGAGGATATAACATACAAGCGTGAGATTACTGTAGCAAAGAGAGCCCTGTGCTGATTGGTGTCTACTATATGGTCAGGTGGAGTGGCCCTGGACTGGTGCAGGCCAGCCTGGTCCTCGGGAGAACCGTTACCTTGCGTCACCTTTCATCATGGTGCAGCAAAAGGGGCATGTGCCTGGCTAGGCAGTTCCACACCAAATGGGTGGTTTTCTAGATAATACCAAATTTTAAATAATCTAGCAACAGTGAGAGAGCAGTCTGGCACTGGTGCTTTGTTATTGTTTAATGGTCCAAGATATCTAAAGTCTCCCTCATTCATCTCAGCGTGAACTGCAAATTGTGCCCTCTTGCTGAGGCTCCTCAACCAAGTTCTGCCTCTCACTAAAAGTGATTGGAAAGTAGCTTTTTACTTTAAAAGACAATAGGAATGTTTTCTGTTCCTTATGATTTATTAATACTTGCACTTATTTATGTTTTGACCTAGGTTGCAAGTAACAATGTTTTGTGGCCCCATTTAAAAAGAAATGTTTGACTGTATGTTTTTCATGGTGTTAGGACATAACAAAATAACAGATTATTGCCATTTGTTTTTCTACTTTAGAAATTTGACATTTGGATGGGATGGACCCTCTTGGAGATTACTCACAGCTCTGAAGTTGTTATGTCTGGAAGCTGAAAAATTGTAAGTTCCGCATGAGTTGGTCTTAAGCTATTGCTATGGTCTGGATATAACTTGGGGCATTTTTAACTTGGATTCAGATACTCATCCTGGGAGGAAAAAGGCTTGTTGCCCTATGTTAGTGTTCCTTCTTTATATAATTCACTCTTTAGGGTGGGTTTTCCTTCTGCATTTTAACCACTTATGGACTTGAGGTTTTAGAGTCACAGTCAGGGTACCAGGCTCTGAGGATCTTTCAGTCTCTCTTCAGATGTTCCCCTTGGTGACCTGATGTTTCTTATTCAGAGGAAACACTGCCAGCCCCATGAGTGCAGGTGCTATTCAGGGGCAGGTCTCTGAATCGGCTGCCTTTTCCTGGCAAGCAGAGCTGCTGACTGTGCTTCTCCTGTGCTGCTCTGGGGCAGAACCAGGGCCCCTACTGAAGGAGAGGCCTGGTGTTTTCCTGGGGGAGGCCAGTGTGAGGAGCGCCTGAGGAGGCCAGTGTGAGGAGCACCTGGGGAGGACAGGTATCATAGGCTCCTCCATGTCCCCCTGAGGCCATCAGCCCCCTACATCCCAATCCACGACAATCAGTCAGCACATAGCCTGGGGCTGGTCAACTCCCTCTTGTGCTGTCCAGTGTGGAGGGAGCACGTCCTGAAGATGGTAAATCCGATGGTTAATATCGATGTCCACTTGATTGAATTGGAAAAGAGCTAGGAAATTAATAAAGTACACTTTCGCATGTGTCTGTGTGGGTATTTTTAGGGGCTTTCTGCATATCAGATAGCAAATAAAGTGAGCAATACCCATTCTGGACATGGGCAGGAGTATCCTACGAGCTGGGGTGTAGACTGAAGAGAAGTGGAAGGAGGGAGCCCCATCTCTGCTTTTTGGTTACTTTGGCTCCTTGGTGACTTTGCGAAAAGCAGCTTTCTTTCACAATGCCTTTCCACCATTGTGTTTCTGCCTTGCTACAGACTCAAAAGCAATGGAGGCAGTGGACCGGTGACTAGAATCTGAGTCCATATGCCAAAATAAAGCTTTCTTCTTTAAGCTGTTTATGTCAGTTGTTGTGTCATGGTGAGAGGAAGCCGGCTGTCACAGGAAATTAGGACCAAGAAGGACAATCATTACTATGAATATACCACATCATATAGATGAGAAGCTTTGCATCTGGTTTGAGGAGTTTGCAAAGGTTTAAAGGTGTAGATTGCAGAAGCTCTATGATGTAAGTAGAACTTCATTCTAGTGGGAGCTCAGAAACCCAGAATGTTGGTAGAAATGGGCACAGTGAAGGCTATGCTCTTGAGGTTTTAGACGTGAATGAAGACTTTAAAATTGGAGCAGAGGCCATTTGTGTTATATTCTGGCAAAGAACTTGTCGATATTTGCCCTTGTCCTGTTACTTAGTATGTGGCTGAATATAATGGTGACTAGTTTACTTGGTGGAGGAAATTTCAAGGGAGCAAAGCATTTGGGTGGTGGCTGCTTTTAAGTCAGATTTTCAGTGAACAGAGAAAGCAAAAAGCAGAGTGAAAAGATCTTAAAAATTGCAGGTTGCCCAGGAAAGATGCCTATGTGAAGTTGGGACCAAAGGAGGTGTGGTTGCTGAAGTGGGTTCCACCATGAAAAAGAAATTAAGTATTGTGCCAGCTCAGAAAGAAAGATACTTGGGGGGCCTCTCAGGACTTAGCAAGACCCTCTTTCCAAGGGCTGAAGATGTAAAAGAGTAAATCTTTCATTGAAAAAGCCTCTGGGACTCTGCTCAAGCAGGGCTGCCTAGAAAACTGGTTTCCCAGGATTCATTTCACCAAGCTCAGGCAGTTAGAGGCTGCTGCAGGCATGGTCTAAGTGGGCCTGGCTACTGCATTTGATTGTGGCAGACCTTGGCATTGTACCTGTGGTGCTGGTTTTGCAGGCATGCAGAATGCAAGAGTTTTGGGGCCAGACACTTCCACCTAAATGTCAAAGGAAGGCTGGTGTGCGCAAAATTAGAACCCCTGCAGGCAGCATCTGGGGAGGTGATTTATGAAGCTAAGAATATACTTGAAACTGCAATAGAGACTCAAAAGAAGTTAGAGATGCCAGGAATGTGGAATTTCTGTGGAGAAAACTGAAGACCCAAGCCATACTAACTGTGGAGGTGACTCTGCTGCAGTTGACAAGGCTGGAGGAACAGGACTGTCCAAATCCTTTGGAGCTCACATCCATGGATTCTGGATTGAATGTTTGTCCTGCTTGAATATGGTCTTTTTCTTTCTCATTACTCCTTGCTACTTTATTATTACTGCAAAACAGAATGGGAATATTTATCCTGTACCTGTCTTACCATTGTGTGTGTGTATAGTTTGCTTTTACTTTTATAGGTGCTCATGGCTAAGAGTTTGCCTTATATCTCAGATGAGACTTTGGATGTAGGCTTTTGAGCAATTCTGGAGCTATTTAGACTTAGGGCTTTTTAAATTGTACGCATGATGTAGTTACATCATGTTAAGTAGGATTATGGCCTTGTTAATTTGAGATATAATGATTTAAAGAGAGATAATTCAGTGTCAAATTGACAAGAGATAGACTTGTGATGATTGATACTGATGTCAACTTGATTGGATTCACTAATGCCTGGAAAATTAGTAAAGCACGGTTCTAAGTGTATCTATGTGTTTCCAATTATCCAGAAATGATTGGCATGTGGGAAGCAAACTGAGGAGGAGACCTGCCCTGAATGTGGGTGGCACAGTCTGGGGGGCGGGAGGGGGAGCAGATGAAAGGAAAGCAGAAGGAAGAAAGGAGAGGGTCTGGAAGCTCACGCTGCCTTGCTCACACTCACGCTGTCAGTGTCTCTCTCTGTGTCCCAGCTGCTGTGGGATGAGCAACTTTCTTCCACAGCACATGTCTGCCACATTGTCTTTGCCTTGCCACAGGTGTAAAGGCAGTGGAGCCAGCTGATCCCAAATGACTTTTCTGCCTTAATTTATTTCAGATATTTTGTCATTATAAGGCAAAGCTGACTAATGGACTGGATTAAATGAGATAGCACTTGAAAGTAGCCCTTATACAGTGCCTGGAAATGTTTTTGGAGATGAGGCCTTTTCATACTGGAAGGATAGAAATTAGATCAAGTTGGGAATTAAAGAGCACAAGTAGGACATTAATTGAGGCTTCTGCTCAAGCCAAATGGGTGCAGCTCAGCAGACAGAATCTGGCTGCTTCCTCAGTGTTGATGTGGGAGCTGCTTTCCAGGGCATTAAGACAGGAAAAGGATGTCATCAGACAAGCTGATGAAAGCAAAGCATATTCAGGTGTTTTGGAAGTAGGTGGAGATCTTTGAGGAATTTGAGTTCCAGCTCTTTTTACTCATTCTGTAGTCTTGTGTTTCCAGTCACAGCTGCTGGTGGGTATCTTTAGCCATGCAGCTAGAGGAGAAAGACAAGGAGATATTTCTAGGTCATTAACTCTGTATTACAGTTTTGGATAAAACATTTCTTAAGTGATCAACATTTTTTTACATGCAGAACTGAGTAGAATCTGACTTAAAGGTTAAGGCAACAAAGGATAGAATTAGTGTAAGGATAGAGACAGATGCCAAGCATTACCATCTCGTTCTGTTCTCACATTGGACATCTGCAGGCTCATGAGAAGAGTCAGGGTTTAAAAGAAAATGGTTTTCAAGTCCTTGAAAAGTGACCTGGGTCATTATCATTGTAACCCACACATCAGAGGCATTATCTATAGCAAAACTAGTGGAAAACTAGTATTGTCCAGCTGTGTAACTGCCAAGGTCAGTGATTTTTTGTTTGTTTTTTATTTAAAGAGGAAGAAACAAAAAAATACATGGAGATAAAAAAGGGTAGAAATAATACAGAATTACAGAAAAATAAATGGTAAGAAATCACTAGTTGATAAGTTACATATTGTCGTCTTAGAAATAGTTGTTCAGGTTACAAAATTAAAGTATGTAAAATGACATTCAAATAGTGACACTGCCAATAATTCTGCTCAATGATCTAACAAAAACTTAGTAATATGGTTATCAGTCCTACACACTTGTTTTTTATCTTAAAGAGGGTAAGATTAAACATATCAAAACAGAACAAAACAGTTAAAAAAAACAATTTAAAGAAATACAGATTTCAAAGCAAGTCCACTGGAGATCTTCACTGTTTATCTAATTGTCTCTAGTTTCTTCCAAATAGTTGTCCCCATCTTCACGCACATTAAATACATACTGCATATTTTAGAACTAATCAAATCATTACAGGATGATGAAGGCTTTTTAGGTCTTCAAGATCTGACATTGGGGAAGATAATAATAACTACCATCGTGCCTCTCATTCTCTTCATAGTAGCTGTCCTTATCTTTACATATGCTGAAATTGAACTTAAGAGACTAGACTAATATCACTCTGATTAGTGAATAATAGAATTGCTAGATTTTATATCATAATGCTACAAAATTAGCATTGGGTTTCTTAGTGTCTCTTCTTCTTCAGAGTATCTGTTCATTACATCTTATAATATATTATCTGTTCCCGTAAATAGTTTTTAAAAAAATCTTCTCATGTGTGAATTTCTACATGTATATCTATCCTCTCTGTATTATAGGGAAAAACAAATCATAACAAGACAGCAAAACAAATTCCCAGAAAAACATGCAATGAAAAAGACACATAAGACCACAATATTAGGTAATCTACTGTAGTTACTATGCTTTCTTGTTATTTTCAATAGATTTGTCCACATCATCGGGCTTAATATAGTTAAATATAGTATTATCTAGCTATTTTTATAAAAACACAACTTTGAAAACATTGTAGGACTTGAGAGCTGTTAATAATCAATACCAGTATGGATATCTTTTACATCTTGTCATCTTCAGAGTAGCTGCCTCTACTTTTAGGGTTGATACTATCAAGCATACCAAATTCAAATCAGCCAAGGCAAAACCGCGGTCTTATGAATCAGATTCAAATAAGATCAGTCATAGTAAGACAATGTAAGTAATACAGGGTTTCAGTTTAAGTTAATAGGAAATTAAGGATAGTTACAATGGTATAACCTGCTATTTTTGGGTCAGATGTCTGTGCCTCAAGTCTGATATGAGTGGACAGACCAGAACAAATTAAATTCAAACTAAACAGGGCGATAAGACTACTGTGTCTTTTAAATTCTGATACACTATTAACAATGACCTCTGCCTGTTTTTAATAGTGTATCAAAGCTATCTATACTAAAGATTATAGTTTATCGTCTCTGCCTCATGTCTGCTACTCCACTTTACTGCTATAATTTGTCCACCTTACTCCCTCATTCCACTGTCTGCCCATTCACTGAGGCCTCTCAGCCACTGTTGCTGGAATCCTGGTATCCCTTCCTCTCTTTCTCTGGAATGTCCTTCAGCACTCTCTGTAGGGTTGGGTTGGTAGCCACAAACTCCCACAGTTCCTCCTTGTTTTGGAAGCATCTTATTTCTCCATTAATTTTGAGAGAGAGTTTTTATGGGTATATGAGTCTTGGTTGCATATTATTTTCTTTCAGGACTTGGAATATTTCTTCCCATTCCCTTCTTGATTTAAGAGTTTGTGTTGATAAGTCTGTTGTTATTTTGATAATTTTCCCATTGTAGATAATCTGCTTCTTTTCCCTGGCTGCTTTTAATATTCTGTTCTTTTGGTGGATTTCTGGAATCTTGATTATTATATGTCTGGGTATAGATCTGTTTTAGTTGTAGGTAACTGGTGTTCTGTATGCCTCTTTTATCTGGATATCATTTCTTTTTGCTATACATGGGAAATTTTCCTTTAATATATCTGTGAATATTTTTTGTATTTCATTTTTGGTTGTTCCTGCTTCCTCACTCACATGCTTTATTTTTAAGTTATATATCCTTTTGTCATCTTCTAGCCTTTGAATTGTTTCTTCTGGTTCCTTGTTATTTTTAAGAGGTATTTTCTTTCACGATCATATATCATAAATCTCTCTTCAAGTTTCAAAAGGCTAACTTTAGTTTCTGTCAAGGCATTTTGCCAATGTTCAATGGAATTTTTAGTTTCCTGGTAATCTCTTTGGATCTGTTTCATGTATTCTAGTTTATGTTTAAATTCTTCTTCAGAAGTTTCTCTTTCTTTTCTGATTTCCTCTGTTCTTCCATCTGTGTTCTCTTGGGTGGGTCTTTTCATTTCTTTAATTAATGTCTTTATATCTTTCCTCACTTGGATCAGGAGTACAGCTTTAAATTCATCTATGAGGTCATGGAGGTATTTTTTTTTTATTTCAGTTGATGCTGTTTCCAGTATTAGATGGTTACTGTGCTTGTTCTCTTCTGTATTTACTTCTCCTGGGCTTATTTTCTCATGTTGGACAACTGGAGATTTTTTTTTATTTCTATCTCTTGTCATGTTTCTGGTTTTTTTCAGACTGGAGTGTCCTGGGGGTCTCTGGCCCTCTCCGTATTGCTTAAGGCCTTTCAGAAGCATGTTGACTTGAGTTTTTGCTGTCCTCCCCAATTTGCTGTTATCTGGGGTAGGCAAGGATGCAGGGACGGTGCAGGCTAGCCTCCAGCCTCTGTGCCAGTCAATCCGCAAGTTAGGCTGTACTTTGTGGATGTTACAGAGTTGTGACTTTTGTATTTGCTTATTGGATCCCAACCAGAGGCGTGGTTCAGCCCCAGCAGATCCTGCGAGTTTCTCTCTGTGCCAGAAGCAGCTGACTAATGTCACTGTGCACAGGGCTCTGCTCAAATCCCAGCTGTCCTCTACCAGACCTCTCTGTGCCAGGAGCGACTATCTAACGTCACCACGGCACCGGGTCTGCCCAATTCCAAGATATCCTCCACTAGTTCTCTCTATGTTGCTGACGCTGTCATGGCGCTGGACTCTGCCCAACTTTAAGATGTCCTCCACCAGACCTCTGTATGCCAGGGGCGACTGTCTGATGTTACCAAGCTGCGGGTTCTGCCCAACTCCAAGATGACCTCCACCAGACTCTCCGTGTTACTAATGTCACTGTGGTGGCGGGCTCCGCCCAATTCCAAAATGTCCTCCAACCAGCCACAGCAGCCGTGGGACCCAGTCCCTAGTACTCACCAGGACTCAGTGCAGGTTTACCTCTTGGGTCTGCTGCACACTGCGCCGCTTGCCTTCACTGCGTTCCTGACAAGGGCCGAACGGTCAGAAAACTGCATGGTGTTCGGCCTTGGAGCTCCAGAGCTTCTCACAATCTCCTCTAGCACAGCCGAGCGGCCCTGGCTGCTTCGCAGGGTCCCCAGTCTCAATTTCCAGTAGTCGCCAAAAGCCAATACAGCTTTTCCTCTTGGATCCACTGGTCAGTGTGCCGCATTAAAGGTGCAGGATTTGCAGACTCCCATATCAGCCGCCGCAGTCTCAGCACGACCTTAAATCCTCCAGCTGCGCTGTCTTGGTTAATAAGAATCATTATCTATTTGTCTGGCCCTCTCCATGTTGTCATATTCTAGCATCTAATATGATTTCTCTGGAGAGACTCTCCGCCCAATCACCTAGCAAGCTGCCATTTTTTAAAATCTCAAGATTAGTGATTTTTAAGGCAACTGAGGATGAGTGTTACTAGGGTTTTATTTGGGTTTCTCCTCAGTGGCATCAAGGGAGAGATCATTATGAAGGGACTATGATTCTGCTCCAGCAGAATGAACATGGCCTGAAATCGTGTCGTCTGAATTGACTTTGGGGCTCACCGAGGAAGAGGCATGGGATGAGAGTTTTTTCTGGACCTAGTCCTGGCTCAGGCTGCCTGCTGTTGTGGAGAATTGTGCTCTTTCCATAGGGATTTGGGAGTCACATTTCTCCCTGGTCTCAGTGGCACCAGTACTGATAACCCTTGGATAATGTAGGTTTGTATAGTACAGGTTTACTTCTATATGGGCCTCATTTTGGAAATTTGTGGTAATTTAAAAAAAAATCACAGGTAAAACTGAGATATGCCATGAATGTGTAAAATGTGTAATTTACTCTATCATGTACTACCATAAAATATATACAAATCTACTATAAAGAGTTAACATTTTTGAAAACTTATGTACACAAATACAGACATACATGGCAGTGTTTGTAGTCAAGAGAAATGTACTACATCATAACTGCATAAACTTAACTGCAGTACATATGTCATTACTAATAATGTAGCCACCAATAGTTGTCACTTCAGTTAACTCAAATGCTTTTGAATTTCTGCTTACTGTATCCTGTAATGCAAACCATTTCTATGGAAGCAGCCGTCTCTTAGTGATAGATTGCTCATTGCAGTAAAAAGTGATCTTTTGGGTTCTTCTGGATTCTTCATCATGTATAATACACATACCATACTAAGTATGTAGTAGTGGACTGAGTGTATGGTTATTAAGGTTATGGTTATTAATAGTGTGAATGTAATTTATGGTATTGAATTGTGCTTTAAATGGTAAATTTTAGATGCATTTATATTTTACTATAATAAGAAATAACTTAAAATTTCAGCAGACTCTTAGCAGTTGAGTTTTGGGGGAATCCAAATTATATACCGATTTTCAGCTGTGTAAAGTGGATGTTGGCTTGCCCAGCTCCTAAGTTGTTCAAGGGTCCAAGTAGATGTTTTTACTCTCAGCGCATTGTATCTTTTTACCTTACAGACATGGTGACTTCTGTCACTGGTATGTTTGTTTCTTCCCATTGTAAAAACTCAGGCAAAGTTGTGCTCTGCTCAATTGTACAGGATGCCAAGACCTGTGGTTCTCCACTGACTCTTTCCTGGCTGTATTTTCTTTCTTTTCTGTCTTTCATTTTTTCTTTCTCTTGTTCTCCCCGTCATTCATCTTATGTAAAGTTTTATCTGGTGTGAACCCATGGAAGTGTCCTTAATCCTTCTCGGTGTGAAGTTGGCCCCACCTGCCCGAGCCCACTTCCTGCAGCCCCGTGTGTGTTTCCGTGGAGTGACCTGTATGGGGAGAAAGGCTTGTCCACTGTAAGCGTCTCCTTCCACCTCAGAGCAGTTTGTTCCAGGTTGTTGCATGATAGAGAGATTTCACTTGAAAAGAAGAAAGCTCTGGAGCCTTAGTTCCTTTCTTCTCTGGGCTCTCCTTCCTGCCTGGTCTCTTCCTTCCTATTCTGTCTTTTGCTTATTCCCAGCTGGTGGATGGGACTTCACTTACATGTGTGCCAGGCTGAGGGTTGTGATGAGCACCCAATCCCCTGGTTTTTCAGTTCTGGTTACTCCTCTCATGTATTCCTCGACATTCCACAGGAGCTGCCAGCGGCATGGAGGTTTTAGGAAATTACTTATGGAAAAACTTTTGTTAATTTCCTATAAGAATAGGAAAGTCTGTGTATTGTGTTGTAGATGAAAGTTGTCTTTATTTTTCAAGAAGCCTGCTGAAATTATTAACCATTTTGGTTCTAGTACTTACTGGACAAAAGTACTTCTTGGAGAAGTAATTTCAGATACAAATGAGAAGACAAGTTTGAACATAGCACAGAAAATATGTTGTTATCTCATAGAGGAGACCTCTGCTGTGCTTCAGAAGGTATGTTTCTAGACTATTAACTCTTTTTAGTTGATAGCTAAAAGTTGTACATAGAGTATGCAACATGATATTTTGATATATAAATATAACATTACTGTGGAATAACTTTAATCAAGCCTTTTAACATATTTCTCACCTCACATACTATTTTTTTGTGGTGGGGTCCCTTAAAATCTACTTTCTGACTGATTTTCTAGTGTATGGTACACATATTGTTCCTAACTGTAGTCATCCTGAGGTATATTAGGTCATCCTGAGGTAAGTTTCTTATCTATCTGAAATTTTGCATCCTTTACCAACATTCTCTCATCCCTCTTCTACCCAGTATCTGGTAGAAGAATTCTGCTTTCTTGTTTCTGTGAGTTCAATTTTTTTTACCCCATGCATGTATGGGAAAACATAATTTTTATCTTTCTATACTTGGCTCATGTCACTTAACATAATGTCCTCCTGGTTCCTTTATGTTGTCAGGATTTCTTTTTTTTAAAGACTGAGCAGTACTCCATTTCATCATCCAGTTCATGGGCCCTTAGATCATTGCATGCCTTTGCCTACACCATTAAAGAACTAAATGTTAGAGCGTGATTTTTTAGTACTAGATTTTATTCTTTCCCTTTTGTGGTTTAATTTCTTGAATGTTTTAATTAAATGAGAAGTCAGATCATTTACATGAAAATTTGGCTGGAATTTACAAAAGTCATTTTAATAACCTTGAAGACATGAGAACAAAGACAGACACAAAAGGAACGTATTTTTTGAGGTCCCAGAACAAGCAGCTTCCAGAGACAGAGTGGATGCAGAGAGGGGCTTGGGGCAAAGGGCCCAGGGTATTAATTGTTACAGAGTTTGTGTGTGTGGAGTGATAAAAATGATGAATTGTAAAAGTGATTATGAAATAGTGTGAATGTATTTTATGGTATTGAATTGTGCACTTAAAAATATTTAGATGGTAAATTTTAGATGCATTTATATTTTGCTATAATAAGAAATACCTTAAAATAACTTCCAGGTTTCTCACATGAAGGATGAAAAGGTGTCTCTTCTGAGCCAGCTCACTTTGGTGGAAACACTGTGGATGGAAGAGCTGAAGATTCTCAAGGCCTCTGCTGAGACCCTCACCAGTTTGCAGACCACTCTTATCTGACTTCCGCTCAATGCCTTTGGTCACCTCTTATGGTGGGTGCAACTGAAACCTTTTTCAAACTACAGTTGGAATAAATTGATTTTACATAGAATCATTGGCAGTGGTTGGTTTTTTATTAAACAGATAGGTACGTAATTACGCCTTTTCTTGTGACTTTTCTAACAAGTAACTGAACTTTTAAGAGCCTCTTCCTGAGACACAGTGGTGGCCACTCCTAAGCCAGGAAGGGCATCTGCAGGGGGCAGAAGAGGTTCTAGGGTTGGGGGGACTGTGAGTGAGGTCATGTGTATCATCTGAGTGCCACTTCTAACTCTACAAAATAAACCACAGAGGTGCTGCGGGAAGTGGGAGGGAAATCCTAAAACATTAGAGGGGAGGGAGTCGGATCCAGCTCAGACTGCGGTTAGGGTCTGTGCCCGTGTGTCCTGCTTCCTTTCTGACCACATCCTCAAAGAGTGGACAAGTTGTGCTTTTCTCACACTCTGATACTGTCGGATTAAAGGGCAGCTTGGCAGCTGGTGGCTTTGGTGTCTGATGTAGGAGCTCAAGGCATCGCTGGCCCTGCCCAGGTCTCTTGGACCTTCCCTGGGGACCTTCCCAGTGGGGAGCGTATGGAGGAGCCTTCCGGAGAGGCCCTGGGAGTTCCCATGGAGACCGAATTTCCCGGCCTGAGTTAGGCCTTAAGGATGCGTAGCTTTGGGAGAAGGACTGGCCCAGCCATGCTGCTCTTTCAGCTTTGTTCTGGTCTTTTTCCTGGGCAGCCCTTTTCACTTCGGGGGCCAGGCCATGTCCTGCCCAGTGGTGCCTCAGTGGGCACTTCTGGGTCGTTGACTTAAAGCCAGGGTGATATTTTGGTCTCTGCTTAACTCTTGTTTCATGTTTTATGTCTCTCAGGCCCCGGCTGAGGAAGAGCTATTGAGTTCTGTGTGGTCTTAGGAAGCCCTTCAGGACTCAGAGTCTGCAGGTGGTCATCAGGGGACTGCCCAGGCAGACTCTGCTGCTGGAATCCTCTTCCCTGTGACATGCCTGTTCTCCAGAGTGCCAGTCGCTTTTTCACTGAATGCAATAGACCCAAATGAATGGCTGCCACCTCAGAGGGCAGGGTCTGAACACACGGTTTCAGTGGTAGAGCTTGGAACGTCTTTCCCTATCATGTGCAGAGCTCGTGCTGATTCTGTTTTCAGCAGCTGGCATGTGTCATGCTCTGCTGCATTGGAGGTCAGCAGACATCCTCCGGAGGGCCAGATGGTAACTATTCCAGGCTTCATGGGTTACAGTCTTTGTCCTCCTCTGTACTGCAAAGCACCCATGGAGCACTGTGTAAGCAAACTGCTTAACTGGGTTCCACTAAAACTTTGCTTTTAGTGAAGTTTGCTGATTTCTGTGCTGTTCAAGAATTTTTTTCCTGTCTTCTACCTCCTTTATACCCTTTTCAAGTTGAAATTCCCCTCTGAGCATTGAAATTTTTGCAGGCATCACATGGTAATGTGATGTTGTTTTAGTCCTCCCATGATTAGGGACAAAAGTCATAATGACAAAAAGTAACTTCTCAGATGCATTTACCACTGACTATTTTATCATCACAGCCAATCTAAAGAATGGTAATAAAAGACTTTCAGTGTGTAGTCAGTGCTTAATATCTTGCCTGTCTATATATGCCTGTCTGCCCATCATCTGTCTGTCTGTCTATCTATCTATCTTATCTATCTGCCTATCTTTGTCTTTGAATGATGAAATCACAGTACCCTGTGATCGGCCCCTGAGTCTGAGGCCCACAGGGAGAACTGCTGTGTGCAGGCCTGCTGCCTCTTTGAGGGTTTTTTTTGTTGTTGTTTCAAACTTGGGACCTTGAGCTTCCCAGCCAGTTGCTTATGCCGTTGGTCTGTATCACCAGCCTCTTGATGTGTTTTTACAAAACTGTGATTGGAGCTGCAAACCTATCTGTCCCCATGTGGGGAGGCCCAGTCTGCAGAGCTCTTTATCTGGTGCCCTTTTCTTCCCTGTTCTTGAATTACCACCCCTCCACACGCATATTCTTACTGCACCCTCCCGCCCCCAAATTTCTTCCTTTCTGATTCTCTTTTTGCTAGTGCCTTTTGTTCCCCTGAGGTCCTGTTGAGCTTGGGTGGTAAACCTCCAACTGCCAAGGACCTGCAGGGACAGACACCCTGTGGTTAAGGGTGATATGAGGCCTTCCTCTGTAATCCTCCAAGCTAAAATAGAAGAGACCTCCCAGACTAGGGCCTTGAGTGTTCTTGCCTCAAGGTAGAGTCTGATAGTGACCTTTTAGGAAATTGGAGCTGCCATCTGTTAAAAATGGCTTTTTCTATCCCCTGTTCTGTCTGCTGCCCTGAGGGGTCTGTCTAGGGGCTATGCAGGTACCAAAGTAGGGAATTCATTACAGCTCTGCCTTGGGAGACAGCAGCTACAGACTCATTTTGGCAGTGGGTCTCTCCCAAGGGGAGAGCATAGCAAGACCCTCATTAATTTGTTGTGTAGCATTTGAACATAGGAGCTTTGTCAGAGATGCTATGTGTTGGACCATTTGGAAAAGAACCTTCTTTAAAAGACCCAGAAAGGTGTGGGTGAACTAAAGGGAACAAAAGCATAGGGAGAGGAGAGGGATGTTTAATGATTTTCCTACAGCCCTGCCTGAGTCCCCGGCACAGTGTACACAACTTCAGTTCCCCTCTCTGCAGCGTAGCCGGCAGACCACATGGCGGGCCACTGTCCCCCACTGACAGCCTTCTGCTGTCTCCACTGCTGCCCCACTCACCTTCCGGAAGCCTTTTCTCTGTCATTTGTTACCACCTTGGTTTCCTTAGGTGTAGCTTTAACCTTAGGCTGTAGGTTTAAAAACCTCACAAGACAATTAAATTTAATAAAAAATGTAAGGTTACCACTTTGTGCTTACAGAAGATGGTTATAGTCAAAGCAGTAGATAATAACAGATGTTGTCCAAGATGTGGAGAAATTAACCCTTACACACTGTGGTTAGCAGATAAACGATGTAGCCACTTTGGAAGAGAACTGGGCATTTCCTGAAAAGGATGAGCATCAAGTTATCTTCTGACCCCACAATGTCGCCTGTTGTGTTTTTCTTGGGTTGCATCTCCCCAAGAGAATTGAAAATACATTTACATAAAAGCATTATTCACAAATGTCAAAAGCCCAAATGACCACCTCAGGATGACTAGATTTAAACAAGGTGTTATGTCCATTCAATGGAATACTACTCATAGAAAGGAGTGAAGTACTGTTACCTGGTACAGCACAGACGAACTTTAAAAACATTATGCCAAGGGAAGAATATAGTCACAGAAGGACACAGATGGCTTCATTTATATGGCACTCCCAGCTGAGGATCATCTCACAGTAGACAGTGTCAGTGATTCCTTGGGAGGAGTAGTGGGGGGCGGGGCAGTAGTGATGAATGGAGGGTCACAGCCTTAGAGTGCAAGGTTTCTTCTGGGGTTTCTAAAAGTGATGAACATGATCTAAAATTGATGTGGGGACACAGCTCCATGAGACTACTGAAGCCCACTGACTTACACACTTGAGTGGATTTTATATGAATTTCCATAAAGCCATTAAAATGTGAAGTTAGTATCTAACTGAGAATTGTATTCCTTTTCTTCAGGAAGTTTCAGAAAGGCTTCTCATGGGTTTAGAATTTGACCGTGATGGTGACGATGATGATGGTGAAGCCCTGACAATTTAGGCTCATTCTGTCACCTCTTTTAATCCCGGTTATGATGCACTGAGGTAAGTTTCTCCTGATTTTGTAAGTGTGGGACGTTAGAATGTGGAGTTATTACTGAGTTAGGGTTTAGGGCTAGGATTTGGATGTGTGCTCCTGGTGTCCTATACTAAAGATGCCTCACTGATTGGCACACTCGGGCTTAGCTGGGCACCAAAGTCCTGTGTAAAATCAAGTGTGGCAGCTTTGGCTGGCTTGAGGAAGAAACTGGGAGGGCTGGGGTGATACGGTCCTGCTGCCTAAAAGGTACTCTCCTGCCTGCACAATCCTGGTCTGCCTTTGATAAACAGAGAGAATCATGAATACATAGGAGCCCATTTTCAAAACATGACAGCCCGTTTCCCAAGAGAATTGCCTGTGATGTGTTGTAGAAGATGAAACAGGCTCAGAGCGGCAAAATTATGCACCAGGTGAGTGCAGAGCTGCATGGGGTGGTGAAGGGAGATTTCCCGGTACAGGCGACTGGAGACTTTACTGGGATCACTTCATCAGAAGCAGCCAGACTGCATGACCCACTCAGGCCCACTGAGTAAAAATCTATAGGGAGGGGCCCAGGAATGTGGGTACCCCGGGAGACTTCAGTCTACGCTAAATTGGCAAACTGCTGATGTAGCAATTCCAAAGAAGGAGCCCCAGGGGTTCAGTTGGGCTTTTGCAGGCTCTTGGTGGCACTAGGCACACTTGACCCAGGTGGTGCTGGGACTGGTCCTCTCAGTGTGGTCATCATCGGAGGAGAGGCCTGACCAACTCCTCTGACTTCCGCATTTTGTAGCAGAAGGCCAGACAGGCAGAGCAATGTGCTGGGGTCATCCACCCATCTAGGGTCAGAACTCCTTTCCGCCCATCCTTGCGGACTTTCCCCTCTCCTGTCTCCTTCCCCCAGACTGTAGATCGTCACCCCTCCCAAAGGAGTTCCCCAAATGCTCTTCCTCTATTGAGGAAGCAGAAAGTTCCAGTGGGGTTTGTTAGGTCTGAGAGAAGGGAGAGGTCTGTTAGGTCTGAGAGAAGGGAGAGGAGGAGAAGAGATAGGAAGAAGTCCGTGGGAGGAATGGAGTGGACGGCCGTGAAAGTAGTGGGCAGCGGTGACTTTATTTCGGGAATGCCAGGAGAGGTCCCCCTCCGCCGGCCCGGGCGCAGCCTCTCCACTGCACCCGGGGCCGTGGTTAACACGGGGAGAGGAGACTGGCGCGCTGGCTGCTGGAATCCGGCGATCTCTCTCTCTCTGGCGATCTCTCTCTCGGACACGTGGCGTGGGGGAATATAAATGGCCTAAGCTTAGGGCAGTGCCCTAAGGCCATTAGAGATGTACCGGTATCTCATTGGCGCACAGGTTTAGCGCCAGAAAGCAGGTTCCTAGGGAGGGGTATAGGGTTACAGTCAAGTTTATAGGGGGCGGGGCGGGGGGGGGGGAGGCAGGAGTTTCTAACTTAGCTGCAGCCTTTCCTGGTTACAGTGTTTGGTCTGGGCCAGCAACTCTTTCAGGGTTGAAGTGGGGAAGGAGGGAAGTGGTAGTTTCCTGTAAAAGAGGGCCAAACAGCTGCCGGGTCCTCCCTGCTGTAGCTTATTCCTGTCCCTCTTCCTCAGTTAAGGTCACAGAGCTTCATGAGCAGGCTGCTAGGAAGTCTGTAGGCCAAGCTCTGTCCCTGCATTTCCTTCTGGGGACAGCTCCATTTTAGTTACAGCCCCTCCAGTACAACCCATATCTCAAAGGGCAGTAGCTGATGTTAAGGCTGAGTGATCCCCAAAGGCAAGCCATTTCTCATTCTGCAGGAATTTATCCTGGGGCAGAGCTTCCCACTGATGTTTTAGGTCTATGTCCATTTCAGCAGCTCTGGCAATTAGCCTTTGAGAGCTTTCTCCTGTGCCAGGGAAACTGCTAGAACCCAGATACTTCACCAACTAGACTTAGAGAACAAGGCAAAGGCCAGGACTGCGGAGAGCCTACTTAGCAATTATTGGGACAGTAAATAATTCTCGTTCCAACTTTGCCCTTATTGCAAAGGGGGACTGAGTGTTTGAAGATAAAAGAGAGTTCAGAATGTCACTAGAAAAGCAGGTCAGGACACAAGGAGCGTGGGAAGCAGGCAGTGTAAACCTTTGCCTCTTAGGTTAGTCCTCTAGTCTTGCTTTTTTTGAGTTTCTTTGCCTCCTAAGCCTCAGGCGGTGGTCCACGGTCTTACACATTGGAGCTACACATGGAATTCTGAAAACTCCTGGGGTCCTTCCTCAGGAGGGTCTCTCTGAATTGGTCTGGGGTAGACCAAGTGTTGAGAGTCATTAAAGCTCCCAAGAGAGCCTTCTGAACCTCTGGAATGCAAGAGAAAGGGGCTTAACTTTTTCTGGCTGAAACGTTCTGGTTTCAAAAACCTTTAATTACAGTAGTTTTGGGAGGCAAGATAGGAGTGTCTGTTCCTATGGTGCTTCATAAATCTTTTAAATAGTGTCAGTCAATGTGTACACAACAACCCAGAGATCAAACACTTTATCATTTGACTCAGCAAATAGTTAAATATAAACACCAAATCCACAATAGATGATCAATACATTTTAGTTTAGTTTTTTTTTTTTTTTTCAAAGTATCCTTTGAATGCGATCCACACCTCTAAGTGTCCTGAGTGCTTGGATGGCTGCCTAAAATGTATCTATGTATCTAACTAAACCTCCTGGGACTTTGCAGTGCCCTTGAGCCACTTCTACTTTAGTGCACTAGATGGCGTGAGAGGACTGTCCAGTTGGGGAGGCTGACTTGACTTCAGCTCCATGGGATTGAAAAACAGAAGCTGTTTTTTTTTTTTTTTTTTTTTTTTTTCCCCAAGTATGAGTAGAACCCCAGCAGGCACTGGAATCAAATGTAGATGTTCAAATTTTCCTGTAGGCAATTGGATCTCCTTGGGTGAGAAGCAGGCAGACAAACAGTAGCTTCAGGGGACAGGGGCCAGGAAGGGGGCTGGCCAGGTAGGGCAGATTAGTCCAGAGGAATGGGCAGAGGAGAGGCAAGTGATTAAACTCAGGAGCAACCCTGTCTGCCAACAGACAAGCCACAAGCAGATGCATACACTTAGCACTTTCCTCTGAGGAGATTCTGACACCAGGTGGCAGGTTTTAACAGGGCAGGTAGACTCAGGTCTACCTCACAGGCAGGTAAAGAGAGGAATCTCTGTTAAGGAGTTAAAATTAGTCACACAAAGAAAGGGGCTTATAGCTCCTCATCTGTCAGATACTTCTAAAATGAGAAAGTGGTCATTTTGTGGGGAGAATCCATTTCCGCTGGCCCACCCGCTGTTAGAGATGGACGTTAGCTCCAGGGTGCCCGGTGTGGGGAAAGTCTGTCCTTAGCCATGGCTCCTCCTGAGACCACAGACCCCACTGTGGGGGGACTGAGCATTATATGGTGTTGTGACTTTGTGCTGGTGGCCTCATTGGAAGTGATTTCTTCGGTCTGCTGGACTTTCTCATCATGTTGTAGCTCCATGAATTTAACGTGGAGATGAGAACCTCTAATCATGGTTTTTCTTCTCCTCCCCTACTTCTTGCTATCTTATACATCGTGGCTTTGTCTTCTGTAAACGTTTGTTTCCTACTTGGCATATTGATTTGGACAGTACTTGCAAAGACACTGGGCTCTTTGTACCCATCGCATCATTTCTGGGTGCTGCTGTCTGATCCCCCTTACACAATGCTGACATTCTGCTTTTCAAACAGAGAGAGTAGAGAAAACTATAAATTTCTGTTTATGTGATTGGGGTTGCCTTACTGGAGATGCTGGTTGTGTGTTTGGGATTCAGATACTGCTTGAGAGCATTGCACTTGGAATGACAAGGGATTTTTTTATTGCAGTGTTTCAACCTTCAGAGCTGGTAGGTACCGCATAGTTGTGGTTTACCTGGACACACCTATAGGTGGGAATTTTACAAGGTAGAGAATGTTCTGTTGGCATTCAGAATACAGTGTTTCTAAGACTCGAGGATCAAAACATTGGCAGTGGGCAACTTCTAGGCTTCTTTCTTTTATAGGCTGTAGAAGGGGCCCTGCTGCTGAAAATGTCTCAGGAAGTGAAATAAACACTTTAAGCATCTTTTCTGTTCTTTCTGCCTTTTCTTTTTTTCAGGTTGTTTGCCTTAGCCTCATTCCTCAGAGGGCGATCCACAGACAACAGCATCAGCAGTGCCCAGAGTCTGTTCCAAGAGAAGGTGCTCAGACCCCCCACCTTCCTGGACCCACTGAAACAGAGCTTGCATGGGAACAGTCTGCACTGCTTAGGACAGAAAGCTGTATCTCAGGAGTGTGGTTGGCTCTAGGAGTCCAGCCAGTTTGGGGGTGTACCCATGGGTTCCACATCTGTGGATTCAGCCTCCTGTGGATAAAAAATATATTCAAAAGAAAAATATTGCATCTGTACTGAACATGATGTTGTCCTTGTCATTACCCCCCAGATAGTCTGACACCTATTTACATGGCGTTCATATTGTATTAGGTATTATAAAGCATCAACAAGGTTATTGTGTAGGTCTATGCAAAGACTACACCTTTTAGAGTTAGGGTTAAGTAGGGAACCCATCCCCAGCATGTCCAGAGGGGTGACTGCCAGTCTTCACGGTCCGTCAGTGTCACTGTCAGCTATCTGTTCAGCCCTGTCAGGGATACAGGTGTCTTTGGAATCAGCTTCACTACGGAGTGAGATGGGCTTGGCTGTGCTCCAGGAGCAGGAAGCCTGATGACCAGAGTGATGACTGTGGGTTTGCCCCTGTTTTTAAGGGGCTTGCCTGCTCCCAAAGACCTTTGGCAGTGCCGGGTGAGGTTGTGGGTCCCTTACCCACAATGCAGCCTGGGAACCTCTGGGCAATCAGGCTGCAGAACCCCAGGATATGTTTATGAATTTCATACCCTGTGGGAAAATATAGCCTGTTTTTCTCCCTCGTGGCAGTGTGATGTGAAGTCACAGTCACTGCATGTGCATCCACGCTGCTGCGCTGTGGCCAGAATGCTCGGGTACTTTCAGATGATG